GAGCCAGAGATCCAAGATTGGTTGGGACGATGCGCCATCGATCAACTCGGGCTCGGGTGCATACGGCCCAAACCCGATGTCTACTTTGCTCTGTCTGCGACTCGCATTCTGTTCACCCCCCGCGAGTGGAGAGGGCGGGATCGCCGATTGGGGCATGACTTCTCTCTCTCTCGTGCGAGGGAGACGGAGAGGTGGACAGCAGGATCGTCGTCGTTATCGATCCGCTGCTCATTTACCCCAGCTTCATCTTTCTTTCTTTCTTTCTTTCTTTTTTCTTTTTTTCCTTGTGCGCTGCTCGTCCTTCCCATCCCTCCCCTCCCAACAGGATTTCCCCGTGTTATCCGTGCCGATTAACCCCGGGCCTCCTCTGGTCACCTAGCGGCTTGCGCGCCTCCCCCACACTTGGCGGATGTGGGTTTGAAGTTCGTGGGAAACGACTGAGAAAGGGAAAACACAAAAGAAAAAGTTGTCAAATTATCAGACGTCTGGGGAAATTGACGGAAGCCGTCGACTAGTGACAGCCATGAAACCTGTCTGCCCCCCTCCCCCCCCCCCCCCCCCCCCGGAGCGTCTGAACGTCACTTGGTCCCTTTTTGCTCAGCATGCCATCATTGTCAAGTAGCCGCCCCCCCCCCTCTAGCGCTGCGGCGAAGAGCGACGGCCGGCGGCCCACCATGTCTGCACATCAAACGCGTACTGTTCAGTCTTTTCAGCCTTCAACCTTCATCGCGACTGGCCGCCAATCTGGGATGGGGGGAGGAGGAGGAGGACGAGGAGGAGGACGAGGTGGAGGCTAGTGCTTGTAGCTCGTTTTGGATCAGGCGGACGAGGTGGAATAGGCTATGGGCTGATCGCCTCGGACTAAAGCTCCGTGTGGCTGACTCGTCGGTGACCTCTGGGGTGGACGGCTCGGAAGTCTCTTTTTCTCGACCTGGAGGGTTTATCCCCTTCATCCGCCGCGAGCCATGTTGGCGGCTTTTCGTCACCTCTCAAGCACCATCCCCGTTCCTTGCCTCTTTTTTTTTTTTTCCTTTTTGCTGCTCCAAAAGGCCAGAGACGTGAATCCGGGGTAAGAAACTCATTCTCACCCCCCCCCCCCCCTTCCCTCCCTCCCAAAAAGAAAAAAAAGGAGGGGAGGAGGGGAAGGAAAATGCGGAGAGAGAAAGCGAGAGAGCACCGAGTGGCCGACAACCCCAAATCTCCTCCGGCTGTTTTCTGCTGTTCCTTCGGGAACTCTGCGAGGAATCACACCGATTTGGCCCCTGGCCGGAGGAGACGTTCCATCGCGGCCTTCCTGGCCCCCCCTCCCCTCCCTCTCGGCCTTTCGCATCTGTATATCAAAGCGTTCCGGACATGCGATTGGCCTGACACACCGGGCAGCTCCCCCCCCCCTCCTCCTCCTCACCTCCGTCCTAACCCGGCCGGTAGCTGTGGCTGTCCTCTTCAAACGAATCAAATCGGGAGGGGACAGGACAGACACCACCACCGTCACTCTTTTTTTGCTCCGTGGTTTCTGTGATCATCCCTGGGACCCGATGCAACCCGCGCTGGGTCATGTCTTTGGCGTTGCGCCCTGGGGCCGCCTCTTTACTTTTCAAAGACTGGATTCGGGGAGGGGGGAGCATTCGGGACGATGATGGACCAACCAGGGGGGCCGGGGAAGGCCAGGGTTTGGTGTGACAGGCAAACAATAACAGAAAGAATCAGCTCATCTCAGCTCAGACACACGAGAGAGCGTGATCTTGAACGCCTCCGCCCCGCCCCTCCTCCTCCCTTTTCTCTTCCCAAACTCGGCCGATCACCTACATGCATCCTCACACGCGCGTTCGCCGCGCAGCGATTAGCAGCAACCAGGAAAGTGGTGGTGGTGGTGGTGGTGGTGGTGGTGGTGTTGGACGAGCAGGATGGCGGCCCTCACAGTGACTTTGCCCAAATCCATCTCCTCTCTCCCTCGCCAACCCTCCAATCAACCCCGGCGGAGGTACTGCCGCAGGCTTTGAACGAGAGATGTCGGCCTGCTGCTGAGCGTTCGCACGCTTGGGTCAGTGATCGGGCGCGCCCCTCGTCCTGCACGTCATCCCATTTTGTCCCCGGTGGCCATCTGGTTGGTTGGTTGTTTAGTTGGTCCCAAAGCATCTCTTGGCCGTGTAGGATCCGTATGGTGGGACTTTCCGGGAGGTCGCCGCCCTCGACCGTAGGTATTTCATTTCATCGTTGTTTGCCTGTATGATGCTGTATTCCCCCCTCCCCCCTCTCTCTCCCTTGCCGGGTTGAGAAAACATATCACCGTCCTACGCACTGATTGGGCCGACCAGCGTCCGGGTCACAATAGTTTTCTCCCCGCCCCTCCTCCGACACCTGCGCACGTGAAGATGAGATCAGGGTTCCATCCCCCCTCCTCCAAGATGCTTTTGGATGGGGACCACTGCGTATGTGGGTAGGCAGATGACGCTGTCACTGCAGAAATCCCAACCGAACGGGACACGCTGCTGCACAGGCGATTATTATTGTTCCTTTCCCTTTCGCTTGTGCGTGTCTGATAGGCAGCGAAGGGGGGAAAAAAGAAGGGGGGGAGGGTGTGAATGCCTACCATATTTTGTTGAGGTGATGTTTTATGTGCGTGCCACTGGTTGCCGCCGTGGTGGCAGGACGCATACAATCGCATGTGAAGGCACGACGGCGACGACAACGACGATAAGAAGAAAGAGGGGGTCGGGAGGCGGGGAGTCGAGATACGCAGCCACCATCACACAATCAATCTGTCCTTCTTTGCCTTACGCCTCCCATTCCGCGCTGCTGCGGACGTCTCGGCGTCTGGGGCGCTCATAGGGCCCATTCCAGACCCAGCCAGCCGCCCACGAACTTAGGAGCTGAGGGCTTGAACGCCGGTCTTGTGTTGGTTCGCATTGTGCCACGGAGGAGACGCGGCCTTGGTGCTTGGTCAGCCTCACACACACACTCTCTCTCTCTCTCTCTCACGCCTCTATTCATGTCCGTTCATCGAACATACACAAGGGGACGCGCTTGCGAGAGTAGTGACGAGTACGAAAGTAGGACGGCGCCGGTTTTTCCCTTTGGCCGTCGCGTCCTGCAGCCACACCTTCTTTCGTCTGTCTTGTTCGCCCTTGGCGTTCTTGTGCTTTTCGTTTTTTTCCTTTTCGTCCGTTATCTACGCCACTGTTTTGTGATTGGAGTGTTGATCCAACTACCTCGTGCGCGTAGGGCGGACTGGGCTCGCAGGGTTCGTCTCTCTCTCTGTCTCTTTCCTTTTCTTTTTCCTTCTGATATGTCTTGTTCTGGCGGGCTTGTCTTGCCGTCGTACCCTTGGACATCGGCGTGTGACGACGTTGGTGTGGCGCGCTTACACGAGCAGGCGGGCATTGGAGGGGGGGGGGGGGGGGGAGGAGGAAACTAGGGACAGGCATACGAACGAATACGCAAGACACTGTTTCGGCTGGACAGTGTGGCTGATCAGAGGCGAGGAAACGCGAGATGGGGGGAGAGCGAAAGAGAGAGATAGAGGCGGGGCTCACCACAAACACGAGGAAACCATGGACGAGGAAACAGGGAAATTGTGATTCAAGCCCGTGGCGAGGCAGCCCAGGACTACTCAGACCCTGCTGCAACGCCGAACCCTTGGAGTCGGCAGAGGAGTCCTGATTGGAGATGTCTCACTCGGCAGTCTGCCTACCCCCTCCCCTTAGCCCTCAGTAAGGCCCGGTTCCGTCGTCTTAGTCGTCGATGCCCGCCCGTCACGCTCACCCCCCCTTACTTTCGAGATGGAAAAGTTGAGAATCAGATCTTCTTTTTTTTTCGTTTGGGGGATCGACGGTACTCTGCATCACACTCCTAGGCCGGAGGTGGCTCCGGGAGTAAGGTTCGTATCGGGGGGGCTAGTGTGAAGCGTACTTTACTGAGAATGACGCGCCTTGTGTGGGAGAGAGAGCGAGAGAGAACCCGCTTGCCCGGTGTCCGCGCGCCACAGGGTTTCTCGGACGGCCCCTTTTCGAACGGAGCATCCTTTCCTGTTGCCGGGATACATCATGCGGGTTGATTTGGTGTATATGGTTACGTTACGTGGTCTGGTAGTCTGTCTGTCTTGGACTTGCTGCCGAATGTGGTCCCATCCCTACGGCTTGTGCCCCCTACTCCGTGACTCGTTTACTCGGGCGAGAGGAGGTGGGACAGTGGGAGATTGCGGAGGGGGGCGGAGAGATCCTGTACATCGAATGGGTTTGCGCGAGGTACGCTTCCTGGAGATTGCGCCAGAGGTCTTTGGTCTTTGAGGGATGCCTTGGACGTGCGGCCATGCGCCGGGGACGGGCACCTGAGCCTGCTGCCTGGTCCATCATCCAACCTCGGCGCGTGTCTTGGTCCGGACACGCGACGGTGCAGATCTGGTTTGCTAGCACGGAGACGCAGCACAGGCGTCGAGGACGCTCGGGGGGGGGGGGGGGGGGCGTCTTTAATATGACGCACTAGGGGGGCAGGAAGAGCACCCCATTGCCTGTGCGTGCGGCATATCAGAAGATATGTGCTATTCGAAAGGTGCCAACGATTGAGCACGTCCGTGTAGGTACTGGTATATCGTCATCAAGCTTGAGGACGCAGTGTCATATCAGGCCAGCTGGGGGGGAATTGGCCAACGGGGAGAGCCATGGGTCAGATTAGAGCAGATTAGCAACGCATTTCATTGTCATCCTTCATAGGACCTCGATGGGAATGGTTTCCCTTTTTGGGGGACAATGGATGGATGAAATGTTGCTATCAGAACCGGTATATGCTACTGAGAATGATAGCATCTTGATATCATCAAAGGAATACAAGGGAGACTTGACCCCATTCCATAAACCATGAACCAAGTCTATATTTCAACCTTATATAACGCTTTTTGATGGCGTGCCATATTGTACAGCCAATATACAACCATCTATAAGCATATCGTACACGGTCTACTGATTCATCTTTCGGCGTGCTTAGCAAATCCAATTAATTGGCACTCATTCGTAACCCTTCTTTCCTAGGAGCGAGTTCAGCCATTCTCCAATGGTCGAGGCGTCCTTTCCGTTCAACCCGCCTGCGCTGAGACGGCGCACCCAGTCGTCAATCTCCCAGATCTGGGCATTTACCATGGTCTCTGAGAGGCTGCTCGCACCCCCGCCGGACGGCAGGCCGGACAGGGAGAAGTTTTGGATGAGACCATGGCGGGCTTCAAATGTGAGGTTGAACTGCAACGGGTCAGCCCATCTGGCTAGATGATGGTTCGAAGAAGGGGAACGAGGGTGGTGAAGGCGGGAAGGAATTGTGATTTCAGGAGGGCAAGAGAGCAGTTTACTTACGTTGCCCGGAAGCTGCGGACGTTCTCGGGGGTCGTCTTCCGAGGGGTGGGTCGAGAAGGTGAAAAGAGGTGTCTGGCCGTAGATCCACTCTCGGGACTGCGTTGCGCATTAGTCTATCGAGTTTCTTGGCTGCTTTCGCTCCGGACATGTCGCAGCCACAAAAGATGAGCAATGTCACTGCAGAGCGGGGTTGGCAGGATCTCTCGACTTACCTCCAGCTCTTTCATCCCCTTCCGGATCTTCTCCTCCTCTTGGGCATCCTTGTCCCCGAGCTCGGCCCGCACGTCGAACTCGCCATACATCTTTCCAAACTCCCTCACGACGGCGTCCTCGAACGTCCGCGTGTCGTCCACGCCGACGTTGCGGATCCGCGAGCGCACGCTCTCGACGCCGCGGCCCTTGATGAAGGGCTCGGCGGGCGACCTCAGGAAGCCGCCGATGCGCGGGAGGTTCGGGGACGACAGGAGGCAGGTGCCGTGGTGGAGCGAGCGTAGCCGCGTGAGCTTGTACGCCGAGCCGGAGATCTTGAAGGTGTTCTCCGCGTCAGCCTTCGGCCTGGCGCACGATGCTGCCGGGGTCGCTCTGGGCGCGGAGCCGTCCGCGGAATGCGCCTCGGCGGGGGCTTCCGGCGGCGGCGGCGAGGGGGGCGGGACGGTCATGACGATGTCGTGCCGGCAGTTCACGGCCGCGAGTAGACCATAATAAGTCGTCCTGTCGAATTACGATGCATAATTAACACATGCGACTGCTCATTGAGCCTAGTTCATTAATTGAGGCCCTCGTACGAATGTTAGGCGGAGGTGCAATCCAAGTATAGTACCTACGGTAATTTTCATCTAGACCTCATTTAACTAGCGCGTCCGAGGTTCTCCAGACGAAGAATTACCTTTGAAAAGGTCTGGCTCCATCCCCCACGGGCCCTCCTCTCAAAGGCCTTGTATAGACTGTCTAGGCTCGGGGGTAAAGATATATTGTACGTGCTAAATCGCAATTCTTTTTTGTGGCCGGTGACCACGTGAAGCTCGGCCGAAATGGATCGTTGAAGCGCTTCGAATGGATAATCTCTTAACTTTTACAGGACTGCTCTGGGGGCTGGTCTTTGTGGTAGCGGTGAACGATAGGGACAGAGCACATTGGTATGTGATTCCTCCCTACAAACGCCTCATTGGACATAAGTGAGTCTGCCGGCTAGAAAATTGCTAGGAGCTACCTGACACAGGTGCAGCACATTATCGTTTGAATTTTCTCCCTATAAGCCTGAGGTTAGTAATATGTGTGTATTCTTCCCGATGTCCGCTCCTAGGCAGGGCGCGGACGACCATCTCGGCGTGCGTGTCGCGGTCAAAGTTCGCGGGCGGGCAGATGACGGAGTAGTTCACGTTGCCCTCATCGTGGAAGACGGTGCCGCCTCCGCTGCGGCGGCGGACTAGGTCGATGACGTCCTTGCCGCCGCTGTTGGGACCCAGGGATTGGAGCTTGGGGAGGTTGACCTCGAGCCACGGGTTCTGGTTGCGGCCGACGATGATGCTGGGTCGGTTTGTGTAGAGTAACAAGACGGTAGAGCCGGAGGGTGTCGTCTGGAGGAGGTGGTGCTCGATCGAGAGGTTCGTGTAAGGGGAGCGCGATGTTGAGATGTAGACTTGGGTTTTTGACGACGGTGAGGCGGCAAGGGCGGAGAACAGGCGGGTTCGGCGGTGGGTTTGCCGCTGTATTGACGGCCTAGTACGGAAGAGCACCCGCGGTATTGAGCTTGTTAAAGACATTGTGACGTTTGGCGGTTGTTGGTGTGCAGAGCGGTCTATAGTCTGAGTTGTGGTGGTTTTCACGAGGACATTTTGGTGAGCCCCTTATAGGAAGATGATGAGCAAGTTGGGAACGAACGATGCAGCAGATGTGACCCTGTTCAGTCTAGTTTCACCAATGCGTAAGAGAGCAAATTTCTCGATAAAATCAACCAGCGGGACGGCAGTCCTGGTGCGTGTCAGTGAGATTGCGGACGGGATGAGTGAAGCGTTGAGATGAAGTTCTCACTCAATTGCATCTAACAGAAGCCGCGATTGGTTAGGGCGGCCACCCCTGTAAACACAAGATCCACCTCATTAACGGGGCAATTCAATTACATCATTAAGACCCCTCCACCCCGCATAGGTCCTTACCCGCAGTACCATATACCCTCTCCTCCTCTCTGCATCAATTACACCGCCAGCCACACAATGTCGGCGTTCGGTTTCTACCTCGTGGCGACGACATGCGTCGCCTCCTCCGGCTCAATTCCTCCAGTTCGTCTCGTGGACACGATGGACTAACGCAATTGCCCCCCTTGCGCAGCTACGGCGAGTCCCACGGTAAGTCCGTCGGCGTCATCGTCGATGGCTTCCCGCCCAGCATGTCCCTCACCGAGTCCGGCATTCAGCCCGACCAGAGCTCCATAATCACGCCCCGAAACAGAAAGGACCGCGTCGTCATTCAGGGCGGCACCGAGTTCGGTATCACCTTTGGCACCCCGATCGGCTTGCTCGTGCAGAACGAGGACCAGGGTCCCAGGGACTACGGCAATTCCACCATGGACATCCCGCGCTCCAAGCTGACCCACCAAGACCAACTACTCTGGCAGCATCCAGGCGGCATCTCCAACGACGCGCCCATCTACTTCAGCGTCGCCTTCAAGCCAGCCCGCCGTCGCTATCGGCAAGAACCAGACCACGGCCACCTACGACGGCTCGGAAGAGGGCGTTCTGGCCGCCAAGGGCCGCCACGGCTCCTGCGTCGTGCCCCGCGCCATTTCCATTGTGGAGGCCACGGCGGCCGTTGTCCTGCTGGGCGCGACCATGGCGCAACACGCCAGACAGGTGACGAAGAGCCTGCTGCCGCCGATCAAGCGGGAAAACAGCAAGGCGTGAGGAACTCAGGATTGGGACGTTGTAAATATGGGCATTTAGAAGCAAAAAGTCATGGTAGATCCCCCTCTTTGGTTTCGGCAAGCATTCCATCGTCTCTCTGTGTCCCTCTCTCCACTGCATGCCAGATCTGTGGTGATTGTGGCACACATCCTACAGCTCTTCCATGGTCTCGTGCTCCTTCACAGCCTTGACCAGGTGGAATTCCTCCTGCCGCCCGTACACCCACTGCCATCCCTTCTCCTCGCCGGCCCAGTAAACATCCTCCTCCAACGCGAACCACAGCGTCTGGTTCCTCTCGGGGACATAGTGCTCCACCAGCAGCTCGACGCTGAACCACATGTTACGGACGGCGACCAGTTCGCCGGATGCTGGTACGTAGTCTTGCATGTTTGTCAAACCTGTGCCGGGTCAGCTCCTTCAGGACACAAATGGAACTTGATGAGGGGGGTGTTGCTTTTGCTCAAGACATGGCTTACCGATGAGGGGTCCCGCAGAATGGCCCCAGTCTCCGATCGGATGCGTATAGACCCGTCCTTGGATACCCTCCGTGTGCATCTCCCCCAGGGAAGCTTTGAGCATCTCGTTGCCAGTCTTGCCGACAGCAATGTTTCTCCTCACAATGTCCTGCAGCTTGTTCCCCTTCTTCAACCCGTCCTTCAAGCCCCGAGGAACGTCCTCCTCACCCGGACGAAGCACGTACCCCAGGTGCTGGGTGTCGGTATTCAGGCCCATGGCAGTCAACCCGAAATCAACGTGTAGCATGTCGCCATACTCGATAACCCTCCCCCCGGCATCTTCGCCCGCGGCCCCCTCCGTCTTCGTCTCCGCGTCCCAGGGCAGCGCCTGATGGACGACGCTGACGCTGGGCTGGAACCACGTGGTGAAGTTGTGCGCCAGGATCTCCTCCCTGAACCACCACTCCAGATCCCCCGTCGTCGTTTTTCCGGGGACGACGACCGCCTCGCTGAAGCCGCGGGCGATCATGGCCCACGCCGTCTCCATGACCTCCCTGTACGGCGGCAGCTTCGACCGCGGCTGGGTGGCGATGAACTCAACGGCGATCTCGGGCTTGACCACCATGCGCGAGGCCCACGCCCCGCCCAGCCCGTTCGCCATGGCCTGGTACTCGCCCGCGTGCAGGCCGCTGGCGAAGGCGATCTCCGGGTGCGCGTCAATGGCGACGGTGGCGGGGTCCGCGGCCTCGAGCTGCGCCTTGAGGGTCTCCCAGACGTCCGTGGTCCAGCCGACGATGCAACCCGGCTGCCGCGGGAGGGCGCCCTCGGAGGAGTTGGCGGCGAGGGGCTCGGCGAGGAAGAGGCATGTCGTGCGACGGCGGGCGGAGAAGGTCGACGCCGGCTTGAGGGACCAGAAGACGGTCTCTTCCGCGTACTCGCGCTGGCTGACCTGGAGGGGACGTGTCAGCGGGTCCCAGAAGCGTCTCGTCGGGCGCAGTTCCAACGTACCACCCAGGCGTCGACGCCGTGTCTCTTGAGAAGGGCGGGAATGCCCGCCTTGCGCTCCGCCGTCCACGCGTCTTGGATGCGGGCCTGCTCGCGGAGGGGCGGGAGAGGGTTGTACTTGGGCGATGGGTCGCCGGCCACGGGCTCCCAGAGAAGGGCGGCCGCCGGGATGAGCGCGGTGGTGAGCCAATGCATTGTCACTCGAGTGGATGAGCGTCCCGATCTCACGATGCGAGTTGAGGTGGGAGTACGGATGAGCGATCGTGAGATCGAAGAGGGGGTGGTGAGTTTCAAGGAATGAGACGAAGGATGCGAGATCGGATGACGTCCGCGGCGCCGGATCCGATACCCGCTGTGCGAGGGTGCGGTGCTTATCTATGCCCGGAAAGGCAGCTCGTTGCTCGATGATAACCTTGACCCCACGAGCAGGCTGACACCGGCACATTGTCTTGAGGGGAGTTAAAAATGCAGTGAAAACTAATGTCTTGTAGTAATGAGATCTGCATCAATAATATTGTGTGGCCAATCACAAACCAAGAGGTGGGATAAGGGACTTTACAAATCTCGGGCCAAGATGCGCGCGATGGGGTACTCTCTTCGCTTTCTCGTCATGAGATGTCTCAGTGGCCAGATGCCACGCATCGTGCTGGCTTGCTTGAAGTAGCATGGGATTTTGTCTGAGAGATAATATGGCCTAGCATAAGTCCGATGTTGATCTTCACCAGTTCAGCCCTGTCGAGACGTGACGCAGAATAAGTAGTACCTCGCCGCGTCGTATAAGACGCACACATGGATATGCGCCGCCAACCGAAAACAGGACGTTAAATCACGGTGGTTATCATGGGATTCCGAGCAGGCATGCAATTCTGTTTCTCTATGTAATTCTAAGGCTAATTCAAAAACCGTCGGGCCATCTCATCTGGACATCTAGCTGTGGGTATAAATATCGTACAGTACAAAGCATCACCAAAAAATATCATCAAGCATCATCGAGGTTGAAGTCCCTCTCATCGGGCCCAAGACCCCTCATTAAACTTACCGTCATAAGAGCAGCACCGGGTGAAACAATTGCGAAAGAAACAAAAAAAAAACCCTCCGAAAAAACAATCGTGCACCCAAAAGCACTTCTGGTGTGTTCTGTCGTGGCAATCTATTAGCCATTTGGATAGATTCAGGAGCTCGAAAGGCAGTACTCACGGAGCTGTTCTCGACCCCATAGCAGAGTCATAATCAGGTCCCCGTCTGGCCTGGACGACGCCTCAAATACGAGTATCCAGGCCGCGGCCCTATCTCGACATTGTAGCGCACATGCGCGTCGTACCGTTTCGTGATCAAAAATACATCACACCACGCCAGCAACGGTCAGGCAGGCAAGAACAGCGATGATGTAGACGAGGCTGCCCCGCGACAAGGAAGAAGCAGACGAGCCGTCGTCGCCACTCGCCGTGCTCTTGGGGCCGTCGCCGGTCTGAGTGGGGGTGGCGGGGTTCGGGTCCTCGACGTGCAGCGCGTCCCTGGCGCCGACCCAGGCGTTCCAGTTCGTCATGCCGCCGGGGCACTCGTTGGATATGGGCTTTCCCTCGATCTTGGCCATCTCGATGCCGTACTTTGTCATCGAGACGACGACGTCCCCGGTGCCGAGGAACGGGGCGCTGCCGTGGTACATGCCCTTGCCGCCCTCGGGGGTCGAGGTCCAGATGCCCTTCTGCGACCGGCCTCCGACGGAGATGGTGACCTCCGCCGCGGAGGTCAGCAGGGCCGAGTAGAAGATCTTGTCCCTGACGACCTCGGCGGCGGTCAGGATATTCTGGGAATGGGCGGCCGTGCTGGCCGTGGTGCCGCCGTCCTTGCAGGCGAGGGCCGGCGAGGAGCGGTACCATGTTGTGAGGGACTCGTTCCTGATGGCCGGCTGGACGGCGGCCTTGTAGCTGTCGATGAGGAAGGGGAGGGTGTGCCGCCAGCCGTCGTGGGGGTGGTCGAGGGCGTAGTTGAAGGGGGCCTTGCCGACCTCGAAGGCTTCCATTGCGTTGGAGCGGAGAGGGCCGATGTGGTGGGACTCGCCGTAGTCGTTCCAGGAGATGATTTGGACGAAGCTGTGAAAAAAAAGGGTAAGCCATTGAGGGTCCGCACGGAATGGCCTGGACAAGGGAGACTTACGTGGGCATGATCTCCATGACCTGAGTCCACCGGTCGAACCAGAGATCGTCACCGCGCCAGACCCAGTTCTTGTGGTACCCGGGGAGGTTGGTGTAGAACCACGGCGACACGGGCATCATGTAGGGCTTCCCCTTCAAGGCCCACTCGTAGGCGGCGTCGCCCTTGGAGGTCATGTCCTGGTTCCCGACGGGCCAGGCGTCCCAACTGAACAGGCCGTCCGCGACGCCGCCGGCCAGTTCCAGGGCCTTGTCGGGCGCGATGGACGACCAGTCCGGGATGAAGAAGGCGGACGTCTTCTCCTTGATCTCGATCCAGTCCTCGGCGTTCTCGGTGCCCTCGAATGTCGAGACGACGGGCTTCTCGGCGTACTTGTGGTACTCGTCGCGCCTAAAGTACTCTTCGCCCATGGCGAGGATGGTCTCCTTGGGCCAGGGCTTGCCGCCGACGTAGCCACCGTTGTAGTCAAAGGAGAAGAAGAGCTGGAAGCCGACGGTCTTGGCGGCGGTGAAGGCGTCTACCAGGGCGTCGGCGGTATGGGGGTCCGTCAAGCCCATGTTGAGGGCGAAGGCATCGATATGAGCTTCCTTTGCAAGTCTGAAGTCATCCTCAAAGTCACCTAGGGTGTAGTTCATGGTGTTGATGAGCTGGTGTTGAGTGTTAGTGGCCGGCTCGCAACGGGGTCAAAAAGCGTCCCGACTAATACAGGGAGGGCGGTGATCTTACCATGAAGTGTGCGACGACAGAGGCCTGGACCTGCGTGACGGCGGCCAGGAGACCGGCGCAAATGGTGATGAACTTCATCGTCACGGACGTGAGGTTGGCGATGGAGTTGCTTGACTCACAGACGAAGCCGTCGAGTGAAGGTTTGATCGGCAACGAAAGACCCCGAGTTGGTAAATACCATACAAGATAACCACTCGGCAGGGAGACATGGCCATGGCCACAGTATTATGTATCGTGGGCCACCTTCACTCGAAGAGGGGGGCGTGGGTGCCTTGGACTTCTTCTCATGTCGCCGGCGTCTGCCTACCAACAGAGCGGCGACATTGCCGCCCCGCCCCCCGAGTACCGTACATCAACGTTGTTTGACCCCTGGCACAATGAGTGCCTGACTCCATCATGAGAACGCCCGAGTAGGCAGGCGAAGAAACTGGCAAGTAGTGGCTGAGGGCGGCGAAGGCGGCTCACCCTAAACAAACCTTTCGTTGACTGGACTTTGGTCGTCTTCTGCAGGGTTGCGAAGGGCGCTTACCTGATGCGGCAACTTGAGAACAGCGAAGGGGGGGTTTAATTCGCTGCGTGAGGCGCCGTCAGTCGTGCTTACACAGGACACTCTGAGTGGATCACCGTACTCTGGTTCCTGTGGCCCTTGTCAAATCGCCGTTGGTGTTTGCATTTCTCGTCCCTTGGATGTGCTGTTGTGCCGCACAGCTACGGTGAGAATGCACTGCGTTCCGCAAAGAGGACCAAGACGGGCAATTTAGTCCATCTGCTTTTGCCGGGGGAGAAATTGCCTCGCCCGACTCAGCTTGGCATGCGTTATCACGGAAAAAGACGTGTGGTTACGGCGGTGAGGGAGAGAGAGAGAGAGAGAGAGAGAGAGAGAGGCTTCTTCACGAGGTGGCGGTTGTGAGCACGAGCGTGGGAAAGGCGGTTTTCCGCCAACATCCATCGTAACGACGACATACGGACGGCATGACGTTGTCGAAGGAATCGCCTACTCGTGGCGGCGGTTGAACACGAAGTCGGGAAGGATCAGCAGAACGATACGACCCGAGAGTCTGTTTCTAAAAGTGGAAGATGTCGTCCAATAGCACGGTATTCGTAGCCACTTTGGCCTCCCGTCGGAGCGGCCTGTGGCGCCGTCTCTAAGCCCTGTCGGTGGCACGTTGGATATCTGAGGCTTGTCAGCCATGGCCGGGGTCATCCCAGGGCTGCTTATCCGGAGCATGACGGCCAGTATTCCTCATTCTCATTCTCCCTTGGTTGGTTTGCGTGCGCCAAAGGATTTTCGGTTCTCACGCAACCAACCCCTGTACTCTCTCCCCTGGTCTACACGTGCGGAAGAGACCAGAATGACAGCACAACCCCTGCCCGTTATATCGTGTAGCATGCTCGCTTGTGGACGGGTCCTTGCAGCGTAGCAACCGTCCGTCAGCCCGGCGCGCTCTTAGGCTCTTGACACAGCAGCCGTACCACAGACCAAGACTTGAAGGGTTACGGATACTCAGTAGAGATTCCAAAGGGTTCGTCTGCTGTGTCTACATAGCATGACTCGGCCGTCCATATGAGTGCGGAACGATCCGTGCATCTTCCCATGTTCACACACCTGAACCACAGACATGGTTCCAAGGGTAAGGGAGGGTACAACAACATACTAGGTATTTACCTGTAGGTAGGGTGACAGCCCACCACTGCTAGGCAGCACAGGACACCCTCGGGCTTCGTGTCACGCGTAGTCTCCTCGTAGTCTCGGCCAACCACGCTCGCGGGAACAGTCAGAGACGTGCATACTCGAGGGACATGTCCAGCCCTGTGGAGGAGGGTCAGACAAGGTGGCGCCGAATCCCGATCGAACTGCGCATACATGGTGAGCGAGGAGATGCGCGGCACGTCATCATGGCAGCTAGTGTGTCGGAATCCCGTCGAAACGCATACACGAGAGGCCGTTTACTGGCTGTCATCGCCGTCCGTAGGGCTATTCATGTCTACGAAGATGGGGAAACCGACTGGAGAGTTGAGAGGGGTCGAGAGCAGCATAGCAAGTAGAGCGCGGGCGATGCGCTGCGTCTCAGAAAAGAACAAGAGGGAGGGGGGAGAAATGTGCGTTATCGTCGGCCAATCGTCCGGACTCATTCCGAGCTTATTGTGACAGGGGGGGGGGGGGACTAAGTGGGCAGCGATTCGCACTTTATGCTCCTAGGAAACCACAGCATCCCATGCTTTTTTCCTCTTTAACAGGACACTATCCGTAGGTAGAGTTCCTTTGCTACCCCCACTGGCCTCAGATACTCCCCAGCGAGAATAACCAAAGTGGCTGGGCAGATGGATGAAGGAATAAAAGGTCCCCAATCTCTCCCCCACTGCGAGAAGAGTCAGAAAGGACGTGAAGAGACTTGGGTTAATTGGGTTAATTAGCTCCAACAGCGAGATCTTAACCACCCCCTGTTCCCCATCCCCGTTCCCTTCAGAGTTTGAGTCGCGGCGAGCTGGTAGCCACCCACAGCTTCGGCCCGTCTACCACCATCTCTAACCAGGAAGCGCAGGTGTTTCACTACATACGATGTACATAAACTGCTACTGGTAGCAGGCTGCCACCCGCGCGTCTGAGCATAGAGCAAAAGCCTAAAAAGCGGCGGGGACCCGGCCTCTAGTCCCGCGTTTCCCTTTCAACAAGGCCCGGATGTTATCCACCGCAACGGTCATACGCCGCGCAAATGAGCCCATTTGTATTGCGGCACAGACTTGTCTGGGACTAGAGCCAAACATCAGTCTGCATGCTTGCCTGTGTAAATGTGCTTGGCAGACACAATTGCGGTCCATTCTCGGATGCCCAGCCATTCGCTATCATGTACTGCTGCTGGCTTACACGCCATGTTCAGTGTCTCATTTGTGGGTGGTCCCGCACACCGATCAACGTGATTATCCAACGACACCTGTCTGAAGTGTAACCGCCAATGCCAAGATGTGCTTACCTGATGTGGTGGTGTAAGAGACAAGCGCCAAGCAGCAGCAACCTTCTTATCAAGTAGAGACAGAGCCGGGCCTAAGATGATGCGGACCAAGTCTTTCACTGGCCGAGTGGGTTCCTTGAGCTCCCCAGTGAAGAAGACCTCGGGGACTGATGAGGGTCTGCTAGTTCAGGCTTTGTACGGTCGCCATTCCACTTGCGTCCTGCAAAGGCCGATTCTCCAGCAGAGAATCCGAAATGATGGAGAAAGGATCCAGCGGTCTCACTAGGCAGTACACTAGGTGCAAAAGGGTGAGTAGCACGCTCATGGCACTATACTCCACGAGTCGAGTGCTGATATGCTGCAAAGCCTCGGAGGTGTCTGTCCGAAATTCATGGGCCAAGGTGTGATTCAAAGCTTACAGTGGTTATTGGCACGTTAAAACATCACTTTGTTTTTATCTCGCGGGAGATAGCACCAAGAAGCGACAAGCAAATCAAATAATATCATTCTCTAACTCAAGACTCTCGTGTTTCCAATCCTCAAACTAAACATGAACATCTTCATGTTCCAATTTCCGCTAAAGGGGCTAGTAGACATAGTTGTCTATTATGTAGGCGGATCTAAAGAAGAGATAAAGCCCACCTGCACTCTAGGGCATCAGGCCCCGTCCCGATCACCCTTCCCGGGTGCGATCAAACGGCTAAACCAAGCCATCCATCTAGCATGGACTAGTTAATGCAAGTTTCTGTTCTCGTCGACAGCCTCAACTCTCAAGTCTCACGTTGGACGGGGCGGAAATATCTGGTAATCTGAGCCTGCGTCCATTCCCTCAAGGCGACAATTTCGCTGAGTCTCCCCCCTCCGTTCTCATTGACCGTCCTCGGCTCTCGAGTCTCGCGTTGATCGGGGCGGAAATAATTGGTAATCCGAGGCGGCGTCAATTCGTTCTCAGGTGCCATGTCTCCCATGTCTGCTTCGATTGCTTGAGGAGCGGGAACTCTAGTAATGGTAAAACCATGATGGAGCAAGTCAGACATATCTGCGACGACTACCTATGTCCTTCGCATAGAAATCCACCAAACACTACTTCCGTTCTTGAATAGCGGTTCCTCTGGCGCTTCGAATTTCCTGTTCTTTACCTTCTGTGCTGTTGAAAGAGGAAAAAAGAAGATGAGGGAGGAATTTCTGTCGGGGCGGCGACAGAGCTACCTTTATAACCGTGGAATCAGGCTTGGCCCGGTGGCACCTTAAATCACGCAAGCGTCCGCGTTGGAACTGCTGGCAACATGGGCAGCGCACGCGTTGGCAACATGGGTGCCGCACGCGTTGAAACACCGCGTCATTGTCATTCTATTGGGCTTTGCTGCAGCTCCTACACCCTCTTCCTCCTGATGGATGTGACTCGGAAAAGATGCGGTTAGCCTTGTGAGCATTTTCGAAGAGAATGGGAACAGTTGTAAACGGGCGGAGGAATCGACTAATACCAGACCGTACTCTACACCATCATATCCATGTCCATCAGGGAGGGGAGGGGGGTTTGTGGGCAAGCTTGGTTCCCCAAGCATTGAGGTCTGCTAGCTTCCGTTTGGCGGTCGATCAACCCGGCTCTTCTCCTACAGTAGTATCTAGCACATGTGCGCATCTCTCTTGCCGGATGCTGCATCGTCCCTGATCAAGGGCGCGCGGGCTCACAGTGACACTTCATTTGAAGCATTCAGGAGCCGGATTGTTCGACGATTCCATCAGTCACACCGCAGTGAGACGGAGACGCAGACACAGATAGGCATGACTTGGGTGTCTTCTCTACAGTCGTCTCAACGAACCATTGTTATTGCTCATCCTCCACTTCTGCCCAACTCAGCGTCACCGGAGGTTGCATATTTAACCATGTTTAGATGTTCCGACACGGCTGGGCGATACGAGTTTTGTAGCCGCTTCAAATGTTGGTAATATAGCATTTCATTGGACTTGAGGGACTAAATATATCTAGGCCCTTATCATGCCGCAACGCCTTGTAATAACTGTTTACCCTCGCAGATTAAAGAAAGAAAAAACAAGGGATATCATCTGGCTCTGGCGTGTAGCCATGAACCCTAAACACCTCGCTGATAAAACACTTGGTATAATTACACGCTTGTGCTGTTTTTTTTCGAACATGCACCTGTCACTGGAGAACGATACCCGCCTCTCGGAATTTCTCTTCTCAGCCAACACAACTTTAATCCCATACTCCTGCATCCATCATCCTTTCAAAGTTCAAGCCGCTGGAAAACCCGCCGCCCAGACCCTGGCTCTGTTGCTGCTGTTGTCGCTGTCGTCTCTCGGTTGCTTTTTGCTCCTCCTCCTTGGTCCTCGCAAGATCAGCCTCGATGTCGAACATCCCGATAAACTCATTAACGTCACGCAGAATGTCGGCAACGTCATCCGATGCCGACTCTTGGGTCTCGGCGTTCGCCGCTAAGGGTGTTTCGCCACGGCACGTGGTTGCTTCAGGGGCCGGAGGTGCTCTTAAAGAGTCTGCTGCGACAAAGGCCTCCGCCATGGCCATGGGTGCCGGACTTTCCAGAAATTGCTGGGACGCGGACGGCAGGAGATGATGGTGAAGCTTCCTGCGTCGTGAAACAGCCTTGAAATGATTCTGAAAAACCTTCAGGCACTGATCGTCGTCGCCGGTTGATACGTCAGCCGCTGCTGTCTCTGGTGGAGGAGAGGAGGCTCTAGGGCCTGTTGGAGTTTGAGGGCACCGGTCCTCTCCGCTGTCGTTTTCGTCGGGCATCGGTGCCCACCTGACTCGTTTACAAGGCCTTGGCGAATTTCCCCAGGGGTTATCCGTCGTCGCGGCGATGAGGTTTTGAGTGCTGGGTAGGTGACCGTCACTCAAGCGGATCTTTTTGGACCGGCGGTGAGGTTTCTCTGGTGAAGGAGACATGAATTTCGCAAAAGACTTGATGCAAAGGGTCGGTCCAGGAGAGCTTGGACTGGCGATATCGGCGACGGCAGCAGCATGTTGAGTATCGGGAGCACGATCGGCAACAAGCGCATCGGAATCCACAGAGACTGGAGGTGCAAGCGGAGATGGCGAAACCGGTGTTGCGGCGGCAAAAACATTACACAGTAAAGCTGCTTGCGCGGTCTGACGAATTCTCTCAGGACTCGCAGTCCAAGGGCTCTGACAGCTGGGGTCTACAAAGTTCCCATGGCCGTCTTCGAGGGGTAGTTGTTGCTGCTGAGGCAGAGCCATAGCTGGCACATCTGCCTTCCATGGACTCTGTTGGGAGGCCGGTATCGCGGGACTATCTCCTTCGCCAATGATCTTCTCGATTCTCGAGTTGTCGCGAATACATGACGTCCCAGCCTCTGATTGAGGATTGAGATACATGCACCCTGATGCAGGTTCCCTTTCCACTTCAGCCGTCAATGGTGTTGTTGGAGGGTCATGGGTTGGAGCTCCTCCGCTGATAGAGGCTTCAACGCTGCCCAAGTGTTGCTGACCCTCGTCAGACCTACAGATAGAACTGCTTACGGTGAACTGGCTCGGCTTCGACCAAGGACTTTGGGGGAAGGTCTGCGACATAGTGCCATGCTGTGAGATTGAAGGTGGAGGCGCGGGCTGGGTTGCCATCGGAAGTCGACTGGTTGGTGTTGGTGGTAACAAAGTGCGGCCGACATCGTTGATTGGTTCGTTGTTCTGCTCTTCCTGAGAGACAGAGTGGGCAACAATAGTTGATCCTTGGTCTGATTCCTCAGTCCTCACTTCGGCGACATCCTGCTTAGTTGGACTCGGTTGGGTGAGTTCCGGTTGCTTAAGCCCTCTGATGGGCGTATGGTTTGTAGCAACCAAGGTATCTTCGGTGTAGCCAGTAGCCGATTTTCCACTTGAATGTTCTGACTGCGGTCGGTCGTTTCCCACTTCACCTTCCGTCGCTTGCTCCACAACTAGCCCCATGTTTTCCTTTGGGGACCCTCGGTGGTGTTCATTGCTCTTCGCAATCGATTCGGGAATAGTCGCTTTGGTGTCATCTGCCATACATGTGTCCCCGTCCAGGTCAAGTAGCTCGGCGTGAGAGCCCGTCTCAGAGGAAGCCGTGGAAGCCAGTGAAGAAACCCGTCCAACGGATATTCTTGGTGTAGGGCTCAGTTGCATAATGCCTGGAGCATGTGTCCGGGGTCTTGCGCGGAACAAAAAGCTTTCATCTTGCTGAGTCTCGAACTCGTCACCACCACGGGTTTCTTGTTTAATTATGTCCGCACCACTGCTTCGAGGTCTGGATTCGATCGTGGCTTTTCCCGGCGTTGTCGTTGGCTTTCTAGAAGACTCCGGAGTCTGGAAGGGCGTACTCAGAGGCGCTGGCTTCTCTGGAGAAGAATGCCGTTTATCGCAAGTCTGTGACGACAACCGTTGCGAAGATCGAGCTGTGGCTGCAAGCGATGCTTTGTACGGTGACGATGAGCTGGCTTCGGGGCTCTCCAAGCTTTTCCTACCGGCTTCCGCGGCCACGACGGTATCTTGTTGCTTTTGACGAGATGGCGTTCTCGGGCCGGACGGTTCTCGATGTAGGCTTGGTGTCTTACGTTGGGGCTTGACAGAAGGCTGTTCCAGATCGTGCACCCTGCCAGCCTTTCGACGTTTGTTGTCATCTCTTTTGAGCCACTCCGACCCTGCTGGGCGACGTTTGCGTTGAGACCGATGTTGAGATTGCGAAAGCGAGGCATCAAATGACCAGGCAGGTTCCTCCGTTCTGCTTGCCGATTCGGCGGTACTCCTCCATGATTCGACTCTTTGGAGGTCCTCTTCTTCCATGAAGGGATGTGGGGTAATATCAACTTGGTCAAGGCTTCGCGGACTTGGCAAGTGGCAAGATGTTGGGCTTCCACCGGTCTGCGTTTCGATGATTTCGGGTTCAGGATCTGAGGTGATTTCTAACAGATGCCCAGGCGCAGCCTTTTTGGCGGATGCTACTGGCGCCGTTTTCCTTCTGGATTGCCATGGATTGACCCAACCTTTGGCGTCGGGGCCTTCAAAAGGCCCTCTGAGAACCGTTGTGAGCAAGACTGGTGTATGGCCTTGCAGAAACCGAACGGCGGCGTTCTCGTATCGGGATTTCCTCTCCTCGGGGTTGTCATAGTGTTCGTCGTCGGAGCCCGCATACAGGACTTCGGTTTCGTCATGAGGTGCTTTGCAGTATATGGGTTCGTCGTCCAAGCACCGGACTCTCCAGCCTTCCTCGAGATCCATTGTTGCGGTATGTGATGGGTACTTCTGGCATGAAGGTCATTTACTGCGTTGACGAAACGAAATGAAACAGAGGCGAGAGACGCTGTAGCGCTGCGGTCGCACTGGCGCCGGGAGTTAACCCGGGTTGTGGTCGGCGGTCGTTGCGAAAGCGGAAGTCCCTAGCCTACCAAACTGAACTGTACAAACAACATAGTCGTTGAGAGGTGAACAAAGAGGAACGATGCCTTCCGAAATTTGGTGGGTCGCGGACCTGTGCACGTTCACCCGGCGACGCGATGGAGCGCGCGTCTAGATCTGGGGCCGCACGTGAGATCGCGTTTAAGTGGTTTTCGTCTAGTGCGTGGAGATTGCACGTGACTGATAAAATGGAATGCACTGAGCAAATATGCATATGAAGTGAGAACCCCCCACTCCCCGATACAGTGATAGGCGCTAATCGGGCGATCGGGGAATTTTGGGTCACGGTCATGGCCTGGCCGGATCTTAGTGTGGCCTGTGGCGGTTGACACAGCAACATGGTGCCTGCCAATCAGCATAACACTGAATTGGGGTATGTTTATTCTGGGAAACAGCCCTGGACAAGTGCGATTGTCATAACGCGATCGCGTTCCCCACGAAACAATACCACCGCCTTCGTTTTCACCCTCACATCACAACTAACTAACCCTCACCGCTGGCAGCGAAGGTAACAGAGGCGCATTCGCCAGCAGCCTCTTCTTCGTTTTTAATAGCTCATCAACACATTGCATTTTATCTTACCCTCTTGCATTTTCAACCCTGCGACCTTGCAGTGCAACTGCTCCCGTAAACACAACTCAATCGCGACAACAAACACCCCGCAAACCGCGACTTCGTTCCCCGGACCATCTACCACCTGCTCGATGGACTGTTTATAGTCCAGGATACCCCTAAATCTCGATCGCATCGGCCACAGCAATATGGCTCATGCCTGGCTCGATTCCTTGTCGGAGGATTGGCCGTCACAAGCCGGCTCTGAGACTTCTCCGTCCTCCCAGCTGCCGCCTTTGAAACCGACCGAGAACAACAAAACTCCAAACGCAAAGGGACCCGGCAGTCGCATACCGCTCCCCGTCAGTAGGGTACGATCTTCGAGTGCTGCCGGAACCAGCGACAAGAGCCCCGGCGTTCTGAGCGAACGGAGTTTCAACAATATCAACCTTCCTCTCTCCCAACGGCGCCCCTCGAAGCTGTCACGCGAGATCAAACCCGACGCGCAATCGCGGCAAACCAGTCGCGCTCTCTCGGCATCTACAAACGGCTCTGTGGTCCATAATACGGTACACCGCAAGTCTTTCAAGTCATCGCCATTGAGGGGTTCCGCCGACACCCCAGAATGGAAACGCAGACTAGTCTATGGAGACATAGGCTACGGCGAACAGAGAGATCTCTTCTGTTCAGCGGCCGCCGGTCTTGAGAATATGTTCAAGCCGCCCTCCCCTCACCCCGACAGCACCTTGGCTGATCAGAGCGTGCGACAAAATACCACCATGCCCTCAAGCCCTCCGTTCTTCCGGCTCCAGGATCTGGACACAGACAAGGACGACGACGAGTCGGATGGGAGAAGCCAGATGGACCCGAGCCCGAGCCCGAGCCCTAGGATTCGCCCGCCTCACATCATCCTCAAGCCATCGACTGACGACTCCATCCAACGGAGCAAGTTGACCGAATCCAGTCCGCAACGTGACAGCTACACTGAAGAACCGAGCCTCGCGACCTCCGCGTCTGGCCTGGCACCGCCAAACGACGCGTCACGGAAGACCAGTGGGCAAAGCGTCATTCGGAATGAAGATTTTAGTCCCATTGTTCTTACGCTCTCACGCCAAAAGGAGAATGAAGGAAACACCAATCCTGCGCCAGCCGGGCTTCCCGTCGACCAGCTTCAAGAGCGGCTCGAGAAACTACGAATCGACCAGATGCTGCTAGACTCGCAAGGCGAGCTCAGGTTTGACGCAGATGGTACCCTCGACGATGCCGAAAGCGACAGGATAGAGACAACCGAGGAGTATGCAAGACGTGGAGGCTTCCTCAACATACGTCGTGGAGGTACATCCGGTGACGGGTCCTTCAGATACCGGGGGTTGAGTCCAGGAATGGGCGTCGATACATCGGAGATGCTCCCCGAAGAGTCCCTTCAGGCTAGCACCCCCAAGCAGTTCCCGAGCGTCAGAACACCTGGCCGCCCGCGATTAGAAACTCAAAGTCCTCTGCCTCTGCGCGCACCAAAGCCCAGCCCCGAAAAGCCCGGAACATCTGGAACTAGCAGCACGAGCCCCCTGAAGCTCTTTGGGCCCTACGACACGTTCACGAATCAGACGCTTCTGCGACGCATCAGCCAATTTGAGGAACAAATGTCGGCATCCTCACGTCAGTCCCTCAGTGGCGAGTTCTTAAAGCAGGGTGGAAGACGACGACCCCATACCGCTCCAGGGGATTACTTGTCCGCTCCAGCACAGCAAACGGCTACAAGCTCTCGTTCTATCAGTCAATTTGGGGCTGGTGACCTCGAGGGCTATCGATTTAACCAAGACCTCTCCATCCGGCTCGAGGAGGAATCTCATTTTTACGAAGATAAGGAAGAATCAGAACACGCACCCAACCATGATGATGATGATGGTGATGGTCGTGAAGGATCTGTTCTGCGATTTGATCTCGTTCCTGGCTCACCGATACCGGATGAAGCGTCAATGTTCGTTCCTCGAAAACGTGCAAAGTCAGGAACCACAACGGCTTCGTCTTCAAAACATACACCTTCAACCAGCGAAGGAAGCGTACCGAAAGTCCAGTTTGCTGGATCCGCCGCGTTCATGCTAGGAACACCCCAGAGACGTGATACGGGCTCGGAAGGGAAGCGACCCCGCACCTCACCATCCAAAGATCCAACACCCAAGCGCAGGAGGACGCTCCACAAGTCCGACATTGCGTATGGGCGCGAGGAGAGCTATGCACTCCTGGATACTGTTCAAGAAACCCATGCTTTGATGCAGAGCATGATGGGCAAAAAACGCAAGGATGCCCGCCCAGGGAGTTTACAACAAAGAGCCCACCCCGCCGTCCTTGCCACACGCCATATCCTTCGGCCACGGACGCCAACCCCAAGTTCGAGATCCTCGCTTCAACCAGGAGAGTTTCCCTTTGAGGACGATTTGCTTGACGATCAGCTGGATGAGCAGCCCCAACGGCGGACTCCTCACCGTGGATCTCAATTCACATCAAGTGCGAATGATCGTAGTGCGACCATTGACTCAGATCGCAAGCCCTCTATCAGGACCCAAGATTTTCTGGATGAGGCGGGCAAGATCATGGCCATGATCCGAAATGGAGCCAAAGCTCCGAGTGGCTTGACGAGTGTGGAGGAATCTGATGCGGAATACGGCGAGCCAAGCCCAGCTATCGACGAAGACTTGTACGATGACTCAACCAGGGAGCCACTCTCCCGGCCTCCAAGCCGAGAAGGAAAACCAGTGCAAAGAGCGCCACAACGACAGGACAACCCAGAGATCCTCGACTACCTCAAGAAGTACCAAGAGCTCAGTGATATGGGAGACGTCATTACATCATCGCTGAGGTCTATGAGTGAGGCACAGGACGCCATGCGAGCTGCACAGGAGGTCGAGCGTCAACTTGAAGAGAGGAGCCGTGACAGGAACAGCCATGTTGATCTTCAATACCTCGGAGGAGACGAGACTATTAGCGACCCTCCCAATATCCGCATCAGCGCGAACCCGAACAGGCCACGAGTCGATGCTGATGGCTTCCGCGACTTTGGGACCCACTCGTCTGCTGCGTCTACCACCCACACCATGCACACGACTTCGTCTCGAGGTTCAGAGTCGCGAAAAACCATCGCGCCGCAAAGTGTTTCGCATTTGATACCAGATCAGGTTGGCAGCATGTATCTTGATCGTCAACAAAACATATGGATCAAGCGCAAGGGCGGAAGCATTCGACCTAGAAGCTCGCATGTTATCCCATCTGAGGACAGCGAAGATGATCCATTTGCAAGCATTCCCGACCTGTCCGTCGACATCACGAAGGAGATGCAGCATTTGCGACTGGTGACGGCACAAAAAGAGGCAGAGGAGCGAGAAGCGAACATGACACAGTCACCCAGGAGCTCTCTAAATACGCCTAGGAGCGCATCTGGAAGGGGCTTTGTGACGTTGTCACCCGATGCAGCGCTACCCCAAGATATCGGGTTGCAAGCAAGGACAGAGTTCAGAAAGCTCGGGACCAAAGCAGCAAGCGATGGAGACGTGGAGCATGAGATACAGCTCGACGAGGATCGCGTCATTGACTCGTCCCCCTCCCGCAGGCGGATGACCATATCGTTCTCTTCGCCGATCGCCTCCATCATCCAAGACGTCGCCGCCGAAGACATCGATAGTCTCGAAGACGATGAGGGTAGCTTCATGGACCCAGAGTTCGTCCAGGAAGAATCCAAGCGAAGCAAGTACCAGAGCCTGACGAAAGCCGCACGACGAAACCTGTTGCAGCCACGCCCACGTACTGCCCCGGCTCGTGGCCCATCGAGGCAATTTTCGTTGCGTGGTCAATCCTTCGTTCCGCGCCCCGTTTCCCGAATCGACGAACGAGACGAGGATAGTGTGGTAGGGGGCAATGCCGATGAACGACAAATCAGTATTTTGGCCGATAATAGTGCCCTCAGCCACGTGTCTCGAGACAAGCAAGACAAGAGCTTGAGCTTCATCATCAAAACTCCGGGCAAGACAAGAAGGGGCGGTCTTTACCCAGACGCAGGCGCATTCATCGCCCACAACGTCGGCAACCTGTCGCTCAGCCCGATGTCCGATTTTACCATGAACCACCACGAGAAGTCATTCGGCTTCGAAGTCAGCTACGTTGTCGACAATCAACGTCTTGTCACTGGCGATGGCTCTAAAAAGGTTCTGTCCATGACAGTACGGGATCTCGTGGACCGTTTGACGGAGATTGAACCGTTTGAGCCATACTGGGAGGACTTCACGGAACTCGACATGAGTGAAAAGCGGCTATCGAGCCTCCACATGTTGGACGAGTTTTGCGGGCGATTGGTGAGCCTCGATGCGTCAAACAACGCTCTTTGCCACCTGGATGGAGTACCTGCCTCAGTGAGGCAGCTCAAGATGACGCATAACATGTTGACGGAGCTGACGTCGTGGGATCACCTCGCCAACTTGCAATACGTTGACATCTCCAACAATGATCTGTCCAGTCTTTCGGCCCTAAAGAACCTTGTCCATCTTCGCAGCTTGCGAGCTGACAACAACAAGCTCACCTCGCTCGACGGCTTTGATCAGCACGATGCGCTTCTGACGCTCCGGGCGCGCAACAACCTGATCGAGGTGGCTGATTTCGAAGGAACCAAGCTTCATCGATTGACGGAGCTGGATCTGGTTGGAAACAAGGTGACGGAGATCCGAAATGCCGGACAGCTTTCATCTTTGCAGACGCTCAAACTCTCCAAGAACCGCTTGGAAAGCTTCACCGCCGAAGATGCGCAAGGGCTGGACGGACTGCGGTATCTTGACCTCAGCGACAATGACATTGTTGACCTGGACATTAGTCGCTTGTCAGCCGTCCGCCTGCTCCACGCGGACAGGAACCGCATCAACAAGATTACCGGATTCACCAAGGCCCGGCACTTGGATAGTCTTTCATTGAGGGAGCAGGGCGGCGATGGTCAACTTGACCTTTCCTTCCTTTCCTCGGCTTACGAGGTGCGGAAACTGTTTCTGTCCGGCAACTACGTTGGCACGTTTGAGCCCAAGGTCGATTTCCTCAACCTACAACTGCTCGAACTGGCCAACTGTGGACTAAGGTGCTTGCCGGAAGGAGTCGGACAGCTGATGCCAAACTTGCGGTCGCTGAACCTCAATTTCAACGCGGTCTCGGACCTCTCACCCATTCGATTCATTCCCCGGCTCAAGAAGCTGCTTGTGGCCGGAAACCGGCTGTCGGACGCAACGACAGTGACGGAGCTTTTGACGGACTTCCCGCACCTGACGCAATTGGACTTGCGGGACAATCCGATTACCCAGGGCTTTTACCCACCAGTGCACGTTATGATATCAGCGGACCGAGGCCATGTCGCCGACCCGTTCACTCTGCCCGAGGCCGACCCGGAGAGGGACGCGGTGTTTGCCAGGCGGCTGGATGAGACGACCCGCCTTCGGCGCCGACTGTACCAGGTTGTTTTCGTGGGATGCTGCAAGAAGCTGAAGCTTTTGGATGGACTGCCCGTCAAGCGGCAGCATATGCTTGTACGCGACCCATCATTTCAGGCGTTGGTGAAAGAGGGGCTTTTGCCCAGCGACGTTGCCCAGGTCCCGACTTCTTGTCCATCGGAGAGGCCGGCCGAGACCCCGGTCCGGACTCCGGTTGCGCCACGAGCACCAGCTCCAGTCTCGGCCCAGGCGGACGAGAGTAGCCGATGGAACGCAGAAGACAGCTTCGCTTAATGTGGCGGCATTGTAACAACAGCGGAGGGCAAAAGCAACAAGAAGGCGTTTGCAGCGCAGCACTGGGTTTTTGTATTTTTCTTTTTTTTTTCATATTGGACATTTTTGTTCTTCTTTCGGGGTAAGGGGTGGCGTCTTGGTAATGATTAAGGGAAAAAGGGAAGCCGGTATTATTAATGATGACACGAAGGCAGCATTGTACGAATACAAGCAGTAGAGAGCATTGGTTCAGGAAGATGCTAGAGAATACAGACTGTGTATATGCGATGACGCGTTGATTCAGATCACCATCGATGTCGCTGTCGAAGTGGATATGAATGGGAGACCATATACCGGCCGTGATCCGAGTGCTCGGATGTTGGGTGACCCACTCCGTTTCTTCACTGCCGAGCCGAGGCCCCCATCCGGTAGGATCAGGTCCCACAGCCTGGGTGGTAGATAGACTCTGGGAGAAAATGGCGAGGCGACAACGGTCTCGTGTTCTATTGTCAGGGGACCACACGAATCGGTAAGCCTAAGTCCTTGTGTGTGTGTGTGTGTGTGTGTGTGTGTGTGTGTGTGTGCGTGCCTGAGTGTGTCCTGAATCGCCGCCTCATGCCCGGCAAAATTCTTTCGGTTTCAAGGGGAGATTGTCTCTCAACGCAGCATCCTCCCCCCCTCCCCCTGATGACATAGTGATCCTCTACGGACAAGGCGATGCGGACGTCTCCAGGCCGGCTCGTTCTGGCAAAAGGCCAATTTTCTTGAAAGAGTTGGAAACGGCATCGCGCGGCGGGGCGTTGCGGTTGAAATAGGCAATGCGCCCCCCCTGAGGTAATCTCAGGGCGGCCACTCATACGCCTGCATATCCCGCGTGGCGGACATACGGCGATCGGAGCCCAATGCCACGGTAGAAAACAGGATAAAATAAAAATGAGATGGGATGCACAAATTGGGCGAGTGCATGCCCGACGTCCATCGGCAACCCGCACGCAAAAAGTAGATCATCTACGGGGGGGGGAGGCTTTACGTTCTCGGGGTCAACCCATCCACCCCCCTCATCCATTCATCCATCCGTCCGTCCATTCCTTGGACGAGACTGAGATGTCTTGTGGCGTGCGAGATCCAGGGATGGGATGAAAAGGCACAACAGACAGCACATCAGACAGATTGCGTGAAGCGTCCGTCACGGTAGGCGCGCTGAGTGGAGGGGATTGCCTGCATCCCCGAGGCGTTTGGAGGGAGGGCGGGGTCGGAACCTCGTGAGCTCTCTTACTGTTGTTTTATTCTCTCCATTCTTCCATCAAGGTTGAGCCTGGTAATGAGATGTGTATTATTAGGCGTTTTGGGGCCCAAAAAACCAATCGTTCTGTTCTCTCTCTCCCTCTCTCTTGGGTTCTTTGGTGGGAACTGGGCGAGTGGAAGAGAAGGTTGAAGAAAGGAAGAAGGAATTCCCTTGGAGACAGGGCGGCAGGGGTACGAAGGGGATAGGGCTTACCTAGGTACTTAACTGAGTAAGCTAGCGTCATTGGGCTCTAAGATAGATGGCTACCTAGGTACTACTAGTGTTAGCACAAGTATGTAGAGTGAAAGGGGGGCGGCATGCCATGGGATGTGCACAGTATGCTATGGTATGCGTGCACCCTTTTGTTATGCGAATGCAAACGCGATGAGTTGTAGCCGGGACGATGAAACTGGATATCCATCCCCTGCACTGTGACCTCCTTTTTCTCTTGTCTTCTCTTCTCTCGCAGACGTGACGTGTTCCTGTTGACGTTTGGCTCATGTGGGCGCTTGCTACAGCAACTAGATAGGTATCCATACCCAGAAACCTAATGTACGGATACATGTTTACGTTTGATAACGTTCCCCGAAGGTAGTAATGTAAGTTTGTTGATGTGCATGCATAGTGTACATGGTAAGGCACTGATGGGCGAGGGTTCTCTTCCCCCCCCCCCTGGAAGAGAATCGTCGAACTGGGCTGGAAGTGGATTTGGCAGTGAGCTGGCCCGTCGGTACGTACCTGGGGATGCGCTAAGGTGGTGAGATTGGTGGTAATTTGAGCTGCTGGATGTACTCGTACCTGCGGCGATGGATGGAATCTGGATAGAAGCTGTGGGTAATGTCCCCCCCCCTTTCCTCATTCACCCTCGTCCACCACCGGCGGTACGGACGCCGCCCAACAGCTAGGTAGATATGTATGTACATGACCACCTACTTATCCAGCCAAGGTACTTTACCTACCTACACGTATCCACCTGTCTAGGTACCTATTCGCCTGACCCACCCAGGCTTCGCCAGAGCAACCCAGAAAACACAGCGCAGCACGGCACCGGCAGCACCCCAGAGAAACTGCGAGACCGAATCCCCCCCTCCCCCTTGTCACATCTGATGCTGCTCTGGGATTAGATTGCATAATGATATCGTGGCGCCCGCCCACACACTTTTGGTCTACACCTCCCAATTCCGACCTCGACAATACAGCGCCTTCATTCTTCGCTTCCCTCTCCGCCTTTTCTTTTCTGCGCTACGCTTCATTTTCTTTCGACACAACTTCACACTTACTTCTCCTCTTTTCCCACCCTTCAGCATCGTCTCCTGCGACCTTTGCCAAAGTCTAAACCGTATCCTCGCCACCCGACACATACGACATATAGCAGCGTAACCTGCAGCGAATCTGCAGTGACACACCCCCTGCTGCCTTTTGTCGTAAACCATGACGTTTGGCGACATCATCGCCCGCCAACGATGGACTCCGAGCCGCCTTCCCTCCCTCTCGAGCGCTCCGTCTCCCAGCATAGCGCAGCGTCCATAAGGAGCACTCGCTCCTCTGCTCTTCGAGTCAAACGATCCAAGCTGACCTCACAACCCTCGAGCTCCGCAAGCTCCATCGCTGCCTCCGAGGATAAGTCCCTGACGAGCTTCCCCTCCATTCCTCCCGACTCCCCCACGCCCGAACACGCATTTCCCCCGGTCTCGCCCACCACTTCGCTCCCGGAACCTGAGCCCCCCGCTACTGTTCGCAAGATCTCCGACACCAGGCACAGTCCCATCTCTCTGCTGGGCGGCTTGGCCGGCGGCCCCTCTGCCGAGCACACCGCCCGCGACGCCCTGTTCGAGGATTCGCCCATCTCGACCCACAAGATTCCCGGCGCCCTCCACCATGCCGACGATGAGCACATCGGCCGCCTGATCGCCAGACACGGCGCCGTCGCACTCGTCAGGCAGGTTGCTACCGATTTGGCCCAGCGCGATGCCCAGATCGCCCAGCTGCGGAGGAAGGCCGATGAAAGAGAGAGGGCTCTGCGCAAGATCATACTGGAATGCGGACTCTCTAACCTCGAACTAGAGACGAGGCTGAGGGCCGTTGAAAGCGAGGTCAAGACGACCCGCCCGGGTAACCGCCGAAACGAGAGCGGCCTCTCTGACCTCATGAGCGATGCCATGCAGGACACCGTCATCTACAATGTCTTTGGACAAACCGAGGTCAGCGATGCCACCATCCGCGCCAGCAACCTGGCCACGTCCTCGAACCCCGACGGCAGGGGAACTGCGAGGGGCTGGAAGGATTACCTGTGGGGCGGGTCGAGCAGGAAGGGCAGCGTGCCCAGCAGCGTCAACGGCGACGACTTGAGGCCCGCCACCTTCCTAAGGACACAGTCAAGCGCCGACAAGAGACCTGGCCTCCAAGACGATCTCTTCAGCCCGCCTGGCGAAGGTCTGTTTCCCGACAGCGTCCCGCCGAGAACGCCGAGTCGAGCATCCAGCATCCAGTCCGGCCCCCCTGGTTCACGCAAGCCATCAACTTCAGTTGCAGCCAGTCTCATGAGGCTGGTGGCAGGCGGTGCCATCAACACGCGCGAGAGCGGCTCCAACCGCGGAAGGTCCAATAGCGCCACCCATCCGCAGCCGACCGCGCGGGCGTCCTCGACCTCGAGTGCCAAGACCACACAATCAAGCAGAGCAGTCTCGACTCAGGGCGGTCCCAAGGCCCTAATGGCCATGCGCAGGACGGGTACCAACCTCAATTCTCTCCAGCCCGCCACCGCCACTAGGACACAGCCGCAAGAAAGATGGGACGCAATGTTGAGCCCGACGGCTACCACGGCCAATCGACAAGAAAGCTACGGTCCCGTCGAGATGGACGCGATTCTCCCTCCCGAGACTCAGCCTCCAACCCTGACACACATTTACAATAACTACATCGGCAGCGAGTACCTCACCGACCGCTTCGGCTTCATCTACGACCAGCGTAGGAAGAAGAGGCAGCGCGAGGCTGCGCAGATGGCGCACCACTTGAAGCAGGGAAGCCGCGCCGAGATGCTCTCCAACGGACGGTCCGATCTGTCCTCGCCCATGATCGAAGAAGAGGAGGTTTCGAGCCCCTTGAGTGGCGAAGACGGACCAGACAGCCCGTCGTCGGCGGAGGAACGCGCAGGCGAGGGGGGGAGGTCCAAGAAGTGGCAAGATTACCTCAAGCTAGCAACATTCCCCACCGAGCTCTTGTCTCACACCCCCGCCCTCAGCGCGCCGTCTCTTGAAGTGCTAGAAGGCGGCGAGCTGGGGACGAAGTCGCCCGGTCTCATCACTGCCGACGAGCGGGGCTTCGTTCCCATTGCGAGCACGACTACGTCCGTCATCGACAGCGATGCGACCCCTCCTGTTGAGACGGATGCGGCAGGAGGAACGGTGGTCAGGGACGACACGGAGCCGGTGAAGCTTCTTCTCCAGCACATGGGCGACCTGCACGATTCCTTGCAGAGAGTAAAGGCCGCTCGCTGGAACGAGTTCTTGCGCAAAGTGAGGGCCGAGAGGAAGCGAGACGGTGAGGCCGCAGCGGCAGCCGCAGCCGCCCTTGCCGAGGCTCGTTACGAGCGCCCGACAGTGAATCTGCCTGAAGCTGCCTTTGCCGACGGCGAACTGATTGGCATCACTGGCCTCGGAATCAAGGGCAAAGTTGGACGCGCCAAGAGAACCGAGCTAAGGAACCTGGTTCTCGGTGGAATCCCGGTCAACTTGCGTGCAAAAGTCTGGTCGGAGTGCTCAGGTGCAAACACGCTGCGCGTTCCTGGATACTACCAGGACATCATCGCGCGGTCCGACAAGGACGACGACCCGACCGCTGTGTCCCAGATCGAGATGGACATCAACCGCACGCTGACGGACAACATCTTTTTCCGAAAAGGACCGGGCGTGTCGAAGCTGAAGGAGGTCCTCAGAGCCTACGCCCGCCGAAACCCAGAGGTCGGCTACTGCCAGGGCATGAATCTCATCGCGGCCAACCTGCTGCTGATCATGCCGTCCGCAGAGGACGCCTTCTGGATTCTGACCAGCATCGTCGAGAACATCTTGCCGTCGGGCTACTACGACCATAGCCTCCTCGCGTCGCGTGCGGACCAGCAAGTCTTGCGCCGGTACGTGGCGGACGTGCTTCCGAAGCTATCGCAGCACCTGGACGACCTCAGCATCGAGCTCGAGGCGCTCACGTTCCAATGGTTTCTGAGCGTCTTCACCGACTGCCTTTGCGCCGAGGCGCTCTTCCGCGTCTGGGACGTGGTGCTATGCATGAACGATGGGAGCACCTTCTTGTTCCAGGTGGCGCTCGCGTTGCTCAAGCTCAACGAGCCGCAGCTCCTGCAGTGCGATACGCCGGCGAGCGTGTACACGTACATCAACCGCCAGATGACCAATCACGCCATCAGTATTGATAACATGATCAAGGCCTCGGATGGCCTGAGGAAGGAGGTCAAGCGCGAGGACGTCGAGGCGCGCCGGGACAAGGCCATCCAGACGGAGAAGGACGCTGCGAGGCGGAGAGAGGAGATGAACGCGGCGAAAAAGACCGGCAAGGTTAATGGCAACGGCAACGGTAACGGGCATGACAGCGGACACGAGGAGAGCGAGGCAGCAACGCCGGGGTTGGATCTACGAGACCCGATGCCGATGGAGCAAGAAGAGCAGACGTGAAGGAGTCGGTTGGCAAGAGACAGGCAACGGTCCGCGGACAGGTGAAGAAGGGAAGGCGATGATGCATTTCAGGTGTTTTGAATGGATGTCCATGATACCCCCTCTGTCCGATTGGGAAAGGCACACAAGAATAGCGTCTTTTTGTTGTTAATCATACAATACACAAATAATCCTTTTCATTTTCAAAAAACAAACAAAGTATTTGCAAAAAAGCTGTGAAGCCGTTAGTTAGTATCATATTTGTCAGCGTTTATTTTCAAGCCTGTCTATTGAACCCCGTATGCCATGCACGCTTACTACCCATGCCATCCATCTCTTTCCGCTGAAGTCGTCTCGTCGTACATGTACACATTGGGTGCCTAGGTTACGTTGTTTTTTCTTTACAACTTGGCCTTGCCGGCCTTCCACTCGGCGGCGAACTTGTTGCCGGCGGCGACGCGCTGCTTCTCGAGCTCCTCCCTGTGGTCCCAGATCTTTTCGATGGACTCGTAGTTCTCCTTGTTGAGGAGGTAGGCGCTCTCCTTCCACATCTCGGCCTTGAGGACGGCGTAGACGCCGGACTTGGCGCGCTCGGTGAGCCTGCGGTCGGCGATGAGCTTGAGGGCGGCGTCGAGGCCGCCGAGGGCGTCGACGAGGCCGGCTTCGAGGGCGGCGGGGCCGGGGAAGCGCTTGGCCTCGAGGACGATTTCCTGGTAGAGGCGCGGGGTGGCGCACTTGATGCGGAAGATGGCGGCCATGGGGGGCTTGAGCGGAGCGCCGAAGTCGAGCTCGTTCATGCAGAGGAAGCCCTTTTGGGGGTTCATGACGCGGTAGTCGTGGTGCATGGCGGTCATGAAGCCGCCGGCGAAGGCGTGGCCGGGGATGAGAGCAAGGGTGGGCATGGGGTAGGTGAGGAGGCGGTGGTAGAGGCGGTAGAGGCAGTCGGACCAGAAGCCCGGGGTGGTCATGGCGTGCTCGAGGTCGAGGCCGTTGGAGTAGAACTTGGGGAGGGCCGAGGTGGTGACGAGGACGCCGGCGGGGTGGGCGAACTCGACGAGGTCGAGGGCGGCGAGGAAGGCGCGGCAGAAGGGGGTCGTGAGGCGGTTGTCGGGGGGCGAGGACCAGGTGAGGAGGTAGACGAGGGGCGCCGGGGATGTGCAGACGATGGAGCCGCCGACGTGGGCGCCGTACGGCTCGATGGGGATGGTGAAGAGGGGGTTCTGGGAGGCCATGGCGACGAGAGTGAGAGTGAGAGAGGCGAGGCGAGGTTGGTGGATGTAGTTGCGATGAGAGCACACAGGGGGAAATGGCAGCTCAAAGATGATCCCAACTATCTCCGGGTATCAATAACCCCCGACGCTGTAGATGGGGCTGGGCAAGATGATAGACAGAGTTAGATATCACAGGGACGGGGGAGGTTGATTGACGGGGTCGGCAGAGGTGAGATATCTGGAAGTACAGAGTAGTAATAATCTGACCTCGGCTCGGTAAAGACGGGGGTGGGTTGGTGGTAAAGTTGGGGAAAACATAGGTGTCAGTTCAGCCAGCACAAGGGGTCTCTCTCAGCTTGCAACCGTTCACGTTTCCATATGCACTGGCGCTAAATGTCTAATAAAGGAATAGTGTCTTTAAGAACCCAGTCAGTCAGTTGGCACGTCAGTGGGGAAGGTGATTAATATTTTTGTTCAGAGAGACCATCAAGGCCAGATTGGTTTTCACATGTGAACCATAATGGACCCTCCCCTCATTCTGCCCCCAAAGCGGCGCCAAGCCGATGGTCTCTGATGCACCCCAGACAGACCCGTTGAGCTGTTCGCTTACCTTGGCTGGGTATCACCCTATGTACGTACCTAGGTCCTGTATCACAGTATCAGTGAGGAGGCCCCGCCTTATGTAAGACGACATCCCACTCTAATTCCATCCAATCAGCAGCTATCAATCACAGAGCTACCCTGGCTGCGACATCCCGCCCAATTCGCGCGTCCCCCTGGCTCCAGTGTCAGGTCCAGTGTCATCTCGTCTCAAGTGGGCATTTCTGTCCTCTTAGGAAAGAGGCAGTCAAAGATAGCTAGCTTGGTCTGCCTACAGCACCACGCCAATTCAATTCACTTGCACCACGAACGCAAGCACAAACACGCACAACAAACATCCCCAACCATGGCGGGAAAAGACGAGGACCAAAGGGCCATTGTCTTCTTCCACCCAGACCTCGGCATTGGCGGTGCTGAGCGCCTTGTTGTTGACGCTGCCGTCGGCCTGCAGAACCGCGGCCACAAGGTCGTCATCTTCACCAGCCACTGCGACCGGAGCCACTGCTTCGAGGAGGCTCGCGATGGTACGTACGACCAGAACATATTCCACGCCGCCCCTTCCCCTCCAAAGAGACGACGGGTTCTGTTTTGCTGACCATTGCCCCTCCAGGAACCCTCGACGTCCGCGTCCGCGGCAACTGGCTTGTACCTCCCTCCATCTTCGGCCGCCTGACCATTCTCTGCGCCATCCTGCGCCAGCTCCACCTCATCCTCGAGATCTACGCTACGCGCGAGCTCCAGGCCCTCGACCCCGAGTCCTTCTTCGTCGACCAACTCAGCGCGGGCCTGCCGCTGCTGCAGTACCTCTACTTCAAGGCGCCCATCTTCTTCTATTGCCACTTTCCCGACATGTACCTCGCCCTCGGCCGCGAAAAGTGGTGGAAGCGCCTCTACCGCCTGCCCTTTGACTGGATCGAGGAGTGGAGCATGGGCTTCGCCGACGAGATCGCCGTCAACTCGGGCTTCACAAAGGACGTTGCCACCAAGGCCTGGCCCAAGCTGGCCAAGCGCAAGAACTTCAAGGTTGTCTACCCCTGCGTCAACGTCGCGCCCAACAAGGGCGACATCTCCAAGATGATTGGCGAGGGCAAGGGCGATCAGGACGAAGCCATCTGGACGGACAAGAACATCATCCTCAGCATCAACCGCTTCGAGAGGAAGAAGGACGTCGCGCTCGCCGTCAAGGCGTTCGCCTCGCTTCCCGCGGGCAAGAGGAAGGGCGTGCGCCTCGTCATCGCGGGCGGCTACGACCTCCGCAGCGCCGAGAACTACCAGTACCACAAGGAGCTGGAGCAGCTGGCGGCGTCGTACGGCCTCGAGACCTTCACCGCCAAGAACATCATCACCGCGCTGTCGGCCCCGGCCCACATCCCCGTCCTGTTCCTGCTCTCCATTCCCTCGAGCCTCAAGGACTCGCTCCTCCGGTCGGCCAGGCTCCTGGTCTACACGCCCTCCAACGAACACTTCGGCATCGTGCCCCTCGAGGCCATGCTGGCCGGCGTCCCCGTGCTGGCGGCGAACACGGGCGGGCCGACCGAGACAGTCGTCGACGACGTCACGGGCTGGCTGCGCGAGCCGGACCAGGTCGAGCAGTGGACGGCCGTCATGGACAAGGTGCTCAACAAGATGAGCCGGGCCGAGTTAGAGAAGATGGGCAAGGTCGGCGAGCAGCGTGTGCGCACGGGCTTCGGGCAGGAGAAGATGGCGGAGCGGATCGAGAAGATACAGGACAGCATGGTGGACAGGCAAAGGATGCCGCCTTTGATCAACGCTGTGCTCAACTTCATAGGCGTCGGCCTCATCTTTGCCCTTGGTCTGGTCACGTCGCAGCTATTTGCCAATGCGCGGACGAAAAAGGTCGCCCAGTAACGGAGGCCCCCTTTCCGCCACGATTTCCATGTTGATTTCTTTTGCAAAAAGAAAATGCTGTACGATACCATACCTAGTCACCGTGCAAGTTACATAGACTGACTTGCATTTTTTTTTTTTTTTTGGCAATGAATCGAGAATAATACCCCCCTTAAGTAATATGTTGAAGCAGCAATTCCCCACCCCGCCCCAAGTGTTCCCTTCCCCGTCCGTCCCAGTTGACCCCCACGTAGCGGGGTAAATGAAGGCAGCGTGCGCCCCCCTCGGTCATCGGCTAATTGTCTCACTTTCACTTCCAACCTCGAACCCCAATCCCATCGTAGCTAAAACGTTCCCATACCATGGCATCCGACGCAACACCGGAACCGGCCATGTCCAGTCGCGCCGCGCTCGTCGACTTCTTCTCCCGCAGCCTGACGGCCTTCCAGTCGTCCAGGGACGCTTTCCGCGTCGTATGCACCCTGTCGCGGCGGAGGGGCCACGATGACACCACGGCGGCGACGACGACGACGACGCCGGTACCGCAACCGCCGCGGCGGCGGGTGAGTAGCCTCGTGGTGCTGGACTCGTCGTTCAACCCGCCCACGCTGGCGCACCTTCGGATGGCCGTCTCGGCGGTCCGGGACCTGCGACGCAGCGGCCACGGCGACGCGGGGTCCCGGGAGGAGGCTTCGGCCGTGAGGCTGCTGTTGCTCCTCGCGGTGAATAACGCCGACAAGAAGCCCCAGCCGGCGGCGTTCCCCGTGCGGCTGGGGATGATGCACGCCTTCGCCCAGGACCTGCTGGACGAGCTGCGGGCGGCTGCGCCGTCCCTCGCAAAAGGGGACGGGGAGCCGCAGGAAGAGGAGGACAATGAGATGGAGGTCGACCTGGGGCTGACGATGATGCCGTACTTTCACGACAAGAGCCAGGCCATCTCGGACGCGGGGTTCTACGCCGTGGACGGGGAGGGCCCGGAACAGGTCTACCTCGCGGGGTACGACACGCTGGTCCGCATCTTCAACCCCAAGTACTACAACGCCTCCGCCGCCTTGCCGTCGCCGTCGGGCAGCGGGGATGTGGACGGAGGGGTGGCGCCGATCCGGCGTGCGCTTGACCCGTTCCTCGAGAGGTCCAGGCTGCGGATCACGATGCGGGCAGACGACGAGTGGGGCAGCGAGGCGGACCAGGTCGCGCACCTGGAGAGGCTGCGGAACGGCGGGCTGGAGGAGGTGGGCGGGCGCACGGCGTGGGCGGAGAGGGTCGAGATGGTACGAGGGCTGGGGGAGGTCGTCAGCAGCACGAGGGTCAGGCGGGCCGCGAAGGAGAGGGATGAGGAGGCCCTAGGACGGTTGGTTGGGGCGAGGGTCAAGGAGTGGGTGCTGGGCGAGGGGTTGTATCACGAGGAGTAGATAGATGATGGTGCTGGTTGGTTGTAGCCGGTTTTTTTTTTTTTTTTTTTTTTTTTGTATTCATTCATGGAGGAAGGTAAGGGAGTCCTGGAGTTCGCAATGTGTTTTTTTTCCTTTGCTTTTTTCCCCAAGCCTCGAGTCCAACATGGCCCCTTAGGAGAGGCACGTCGGATTCAGAGAGATGTTTTCGGCAAAGGCCACAGCAGACTAACCCAGTTAATGCCACATGTCAAAGCGAAGTGATTGACTAGCGGCGGCTGCCTCGAAACAGACGGCCCATGGGTAAGAAAACGAACGGTACTTGGCGGGAGGAGACGTTGTTGACCGTTGGGTCAAGATTTCCCGTCGACAAAGGATTCGTTCGACCTGGGACTGGAATACGCGTTGTGCCGAGTCAAGCAAGCAAACAGATGACCACGCCTCACGCCGTACCTCAAGGACGGAAGGGTGGGCAGATCTGGATGAGCAATCGGTGATTCCTCACCCTCGCCATTACCGTCGTCGCCTATAGGACTGGAACATTATTCAGTTCACACCGACGTCGTCGTTTCCCGTCACGGAGCTGTCCATCCAAGCCCTGGGCGGCTTTTCTCCCTTGAATCCTTCATCGTCGATGCCTCGACCCGGGCCCGAAGACAGAAATCTGTAGGTGCAAAGGAGAAGAATTTGCTCCAAAACGGATGCCTGATTCTCCCGTCTCTCCCAAGGCATCTCACTCTTTTCCAACCCGCTCTTTCCTCCATTTCACGATGCAGAGTTTTTCTCGGTAGCCCTCAGGGGTACGTACCCTCTGCCCTTCTTTTTTTCTTCTTCCCTTTTTTCACCGTCCCCAGTTCCCATTGGCTGCCGTCGTTACTGATCCGTCCCCCACCCAGGGACCCACGCCGCCCTCGGCCAGACGTCTATATAAACCGCCCTCCCGGCCGCGTCTCTTAGGATTTTCTCTTCTTCTTTTTTCTTCATGTCGACAATACTTCAGAGAATCATTTCTATAGTATTCGACCCTCTCTTGGTTCCTTAAAGGAGCCACAGATCCCACCCTGGTTGATGATTGATATCCTCGACACCCTAGAGTGAAGAAACTCTGGTTGCCCTCGCATCCCGCGCAAGCGGGACGGCCGTGTCTTCTGGCGCGGCTGTATAGAGGGTGTTTGATGATCTCGTCCCCGTCCGCGGTCTTGCCCTCGTGGCGCGCGGATGGGGTGGGTGTCGAAGGACGTCTGACAGGCTCTGACTTTTTTTTTTTCTTTCTCTTTTTCGTTGCGGCCTGGAGCTTGCTCTGGACGTGAGGAAGATGCGGATTTTCTTTCGTTCTGTTTCTGATGAAACAACCTGCAGTGATTTACTTCACCTTGACTACACTCCGAGATACACCAATGCTCTCCCATGGTCTTTCTCTATTTTGGTTCAAGGAAGATTGATGTTCTTCAGCCCATTACTCACCGCGGCTTCCCACTACACCATGGAGGTCGAGGTCCACAACCGAGGCTAACACCTTATCGTCCAGCAAAAGTATTGGGTCACGTCCATGTTGAGCCTTGCAATTGAAGCGTGCCATTTGATGACCGCCGCCTGGCCGCTTTGCGGTCGCTGCTCACGACTTCCGTTGATTGGAAGCTAGGCACTCAGGTGCGGAGTCAACAAACAAACAAACGGTCTCCCGTCCCACAGAGCCTGGACATGGAATGCTTGCGACGATAGTACCTAGTATAACAATCTATTTTTGTCCAGCCAATCCTAGTCCTGCTTAAACTACGGGTACCAGTCGTCTAAACGACCGCTTTTGATGTCATGGCCTCGCAATCACATTCCTACTGCTGCTCGCTCAGTACGATCTACCTGAAGCGTAGCTCTGCGGCCGAGTGGACTCGTAATACCCATACGCCAAACCACCCCCATCGTGCTCCTCTCTCCTCGGCGGGTTGGATGCGGGAGCGTACGCCTCGTAGGTGCGCGGTGCGTGTGGCATATCTGCGTACGGCTCTGGCACCGGCGGCCCGGTGTATCCCTCGCCGGCGTACCACCCATTCTCGCCCCCGGCCGGGTACGGGGAGCCGAGGTCGGGGTCGCTCGCGGATCTCAGCTGACCCTCGCTCGCGGACCTGAATTGCGCAGCAACGTTGACCGCCTCGCGCGAGAGCTGGCCCCAAGACCCGTGAGGCCTCAAGAGCCCCTGCGCCGGGACGGGCGAGGGCGCTGGCGCGACGGCTTTAGCGGCACTGGTTCCAGGTGCTGTGCCGGGAGGTCTGGGCTCCGCTGCCGACACCTCGTAACAGGCGGCGTGGGCCAAGATGAGGCTGGTGACTTGGATGAGGGTGCAGACGACGCTAAAGAGTGAGGAAAAGGCCCACAGCGCCACAATGGCGGAGACGGCGGCGAAACCGGATATGATGCTCTGGGTGGAGGCGTATCTCCGCACGCCCAGGTCCCGGGCGAGATCGCGGCCGTTGTGCGCCTGGATGAAGAAGCCAATCTTGACGACGGCGAACAGGGCGACGAGGATGAGCCAGTGGTTGGCCAAGAGGTTGCCGACCAGCAGGATGAGGTAGACGTTGCTGTGGCGGGGCAGATTCGTGGCGAGGCGGTCGTGGAGGACGGCCTGGGAGGAGGGCGGGGTGAGGTTCTTTGGGTTGATGAGGTTCGTCACGGGGGTGTCGGGCAGGGGGCCCAGCTCGAAGGACGACGAGGATAGCTGAGGCATAGACTGGAAGGCGTTGAAGGCTGTTTGGATGTTGCTGATCACGGAGGACGGGGAGAAGGTGCTGTTGCCGCGGGCGGTGACGACGGCGGCGGGGTCCGCAGGCGAGGATGACGAGCCGCCACCGCTGCGTCTCTTCTTGGGGTGCATATCGCGGTACTTGGACGGTCTGGCGGAACGGGGGCGGGAGCGGGAGCGGGAGCGGGAGCGAGATCGTGAGCGAGACGGGGCTCTCGACGAGGACGAGGGGGCGTCCGGGGCCCTGGCGGTCGGTCTGCGAGAAAATTCAGCGACATCCCATCTCGACTCTCGAGCGGACGAGGTCGGGTAGCCGTAGGGCTCGCGAGGGGCGAGATAGGCCGTGTCCCTCTGGGATGCCACGTGCTCGTCCGAGTAGGAGGACCTGGCCATCTTATTCGAGGGTGTGTTGAACAATGTCTGGGGGGAAGATGAGACAACGAGTGAAGAGCAAAGAATGTGTGTGTGTGTGTGTGAGAGAGAGAGAGATGAGAACTGCCGGACGATCAAATTCCAAACAATCGCGAGTTGAGTTGGGGAGGTTCAGGTCAGTCACACTCACTCGCTGACCGCCACCCTTCTTATTGTATTTTCAGATGGAAAGAAGAAGAGGGGAAAAGGAAATCTGGCAATTCGGTAATGAGGAAATTGTGTCTCCTGCGATGGTCGGTACGAAGTAAATGTCTGTGGAATGGATAGAATGACAAGGGTGAGAACAGGCAGCTATAGTTGCAGCTGCAGTTGAGCCCGACCCTGGAAGTGATTGGGGGAAGCTCAGCTTCAGTGGATCCGTATCCGGGACCCAGAGCCGGCGACCAAGACCCCCCGGGGGGCCCATCCATCTACACAACAGCTGGCTGACACCTGTTCTCTCTATATCCACGCCCACACAGACGACTTACCGGCGATGCTCTTGTTTTCTCTCTCTCTCCCTCTTTCTGCTTGAGGCTGGAATGAGTTGTGGATGTGGACAAGATAAAGGCCATGTTCGGTGTCTTTGCTCGGCAGTTTCGGACTCTATAAAACCGCCTCGAAACGAAAGTCAAAGCTGCTGCTGCTGCTGCTACGGCGCCGTCGTCGATTCTGCGTCAAAGCTGGGACGGCCCGTTAGCTCCAGGGGCGGGGAGAGGAGGGGGAAGTGCGTCATCACGGGCCTTGGGAGGAATCCAGCAAGGTTTCTGGAAAGCTGCCAGATGTGCATTCCGACCAAATTCAGCACATCAAATCTGTCGAGTATAAACAGAAAACGGCCACGCCGCATAGCTCCCAGTCCCTTGTCCCAGCTAGAAGAGTATTGGTCTTTGTCCGGTGCCGGTCCAGTCATCGATGCAGAGAAGCATGCAACACCCTGGATGGAATGTCAGACACATGCCGCTGTGTCAATAGTAAAAAGTCAAATACAGGATGGCGAAGCCCCACACTCCTTGGTCAAAAGGTCGGGAGATCTGGGACACATGTTTGGCGATGACGAACGGGAAGGTGAGAAGGGTTGGATTGGATGTTTAGAAGCCATGAGTAAGGGAGACTCAGCGTCGAATCATTGTCCGGTTGCCAACGAATATTTGACACAACAACAGGCTCAAGCTAAAGTTCATACTGCCATGGTCTTTTGTCTCAAAGACTTGATAAATGGCCGACCATCTTCCGGCTACGTTCTAGAAAGCCTCTTGCGCTGGCCTCATGTCCAATTCGTGAGTCCACAGCGAACTTGGCTGTTGCGAAAGCCACAGATAGAGTTCGCCAACGTCCTCCGCCCGCATCTTTTTGCCGGTTCTCGTGTCTTGGCCCTCCTCGTCGATGATGCCGCCGTTGGCAATCGCGTGGACCACGTGCACGCCGAACTTGCTGTGCTCCTTCGCGATGGACTGTGCCACCATCCGCGCCGCCGCCCGGGAGGCCCCGTAGGCGGCATACTGCTGGTTCGTGCGCATGGCCCCCAGCGTCCCCGTGAAGATGACGGTGCCCTTCTTGGCCCCGTCCGTGTCGGCGAGGAGCGTCTGCCCGCCGTTCTGGGCGTACATGACCTTCAGGGCCTCCTGCGCGAACACGACGGCGCCGGTGGTGTAGGTGCTCATGCTGTCGTTGAAGGCTTCCGGCGTCTCCTCGAGGAACGGCTTCCTACTCGAGTTCTTGACGTGGTAGATGGCCAGCTTCAGCTTGAGGTCCTTGAAGTCCGGGTGGTCGGCGATCTGCTGGAACGCGCGCCGGAGGTTGTCCGGCTGGGTGTCCGTCGGGAACGGGTGGAGGATGCCGTCTGAAGACTTGCCGAGGTCGGATGCAAGCTTGTGCAGGTTGTCTGGGTTTCTCGCGAGGAGGGCGACTGCGAGGTTGCCATGCTGAGGGCTTGCGAGGATGCGGGCGATGCCTGCGCCGGATGTTGGCCCCGCGCCGATGAGGATTGCAAGTCCTTTGGGTGCCATTCTAGCAGTCTTTCCTGGGGCTGTGAAATGAGGTGTTGGGAAGGATGGTTCAATTTCAGGCTGTCGTAGGTATCTCAATGTTGTGCTTCTTGGCAATCCTTATACTCTCATGGGTATGTCATTTTGATGACCCTAGAGGACCGTCATAGCTATAGACGTCATTGATCGTCTGCCCCACATTATACTCACGGCGGGAAGACGAACGATGAACTCGTTAGGGGATAAAGCGCTTAGGGGTTAGCCAAGTGAAAATGCCTTTGTGCGACCAGTGTCTGCGACCTACTTATGGAGGTTTCGGTGGAAATCCATACCTCGGCCTTTCCACAACTGTTCTAGACTAACGGCAAAGGTAGAGCCACGACATGGCGACATCGTGGGATAAAGCGAGAAGATAGGCATGCAGTCGAGGTGGTTCAAACAGGGAAACGAAAGCCGCGGAGTCCCTGGGATTCAGATATTAAGTAGCATTTCTACATCATCCAAGTTCCTCCAAACGCAACCTAAAACCCCCGAAGCCCAGCTTGTTGCCATTTCTCCAACCATTTTCCCACCATATGAACGTCGATTCGTCGTCCACCGCCTACTTTGCTCGCCTCGAACACCACGCCCTCACCGTTTCCGGATCCTTTAGCCATTTCCTGGAAGAAACTTAAAAGCTTCAATGCCGGAGTCTTGTGATCCTGCGGGCCGGCGGGACTTGTTTGGGTCTCTAGCAGGGAAACCCATTCGCTCATCTCCACGCGTGCAAATTCGAGCCCCGAGGCCTCACGCAGCAGAGAGAGCAACTCATCCCAGGAAATGGGGGCCGGGTTAACGAGGTTAGTCACAGCATACGGAGACTCATCGGCAGAGGAGAACACCGCCTTCTGAATAGCCTCTGCACAAATGTCGACCGGAAGCCAGTCGACTTTGGTCTGCAGCACTGGCATTGCTGAGAGCACATCCAGCCCGGTCATCATAAGGATCGGCCACATCTCCGTATGGTTCCATACCCCCAGTCTCGAATGACCACACAGCTGGCCAACTCTGAGAATATGGACAGGCATCTTGAGCACAGAAGCATAGTGCTGCGTGACTTGTTCCACGATGAATTTGGACTGCGCATACCCCGTGGAGAGTGCGTTTGCGGGATCAGGGCCAAGAGGCAGTTCCGGAACTATTGTGCCAGACTGGTTGCCCATCGCTGCGGCGACGCTGCTCATGAAAACGAACTTCTTCTTCGCTCCCCTCAGGCAAAAGGACATCAGGTTCATGGTGCCTAAAGTCAGAGTCAGTCTAACCGAATAAACCATCCGAGGAAAGCCGGGCACATACCTCTTAAGCAGTCATTCTCAAATTGCTGGATTGGCTGGTTGAAATCCAGTTTCCAGGCGTTGTGCATTACGAGAGTTACTTCGCTGGCCAGCAGCTCAAAAGTTTGGCCGTCCAATCCCAGGCTTGTGTCTTTCATGTCGTAGTCGACCGCGAAGATCTTCTCGCTCTGGTAGATGTGCTCCGAGTAGCCCCTCGACTTCATCGAGTCCCTCACTCGAGCTTGCGAATCGGCCCCTCGTACGGCGCAGTAGACCTTCTTAACTGCCGGCAGCTGAACGAGAACTTCCAACAAAGCATTGCCCAGAGCGCCGCTGGCACCTGTCAAGTACACGACCTCTCCATTATCTGGGCTGTTGCCGATGCTTTGAGGCGCTAGGGTCGCCCACTGGTCAATTTCGCGGTTCATGTGCTGGATAGTCGACTCGGCCCACGCATGGTGCTGATCTTGGACGGAGGCCTCGCCGCCGGACCCTTCTCTCTTGTAGTTCTGGAGAAACCCGAGTAGTCCTTTCACTGTTGGATATTCGAAGATGAACATCAGAGGAAAGCTCCCGTAAACCTTGACCAGCTTCGACCGCAGTTCGACTGCGCGGAGGGAGTCCAGCCCGAGCCCGTACCAATCCTGGTCCTCGGCTATATCTTCCTGAGAAAGCCCCAGGACACCAGCCACGGCTCGTTGAATGGTTTCTGCCGGCGAAATATCGGCATCGCTGGGTATAACATTGTCAAGACCATCGGTGGTTGACGTGTCACCGAGGAAGCGGTTGTACAAGTCCTCTACCCTGTCTCCATAGGACTCCCACGCAATATTGCGTCGCACATTTCCTTTGGGTGTGACGGGGAGGGTCTCGTCCCTTCCGAGAATGAGAATGATCTCGCGGGGAATCCTGGAGTAAGCCGCAACCTTCTCATTGCACTCCTGTACCACTTCCCACACGGCTTCGTCGAGATGCATATCTGACGTCTCGCGCACCTTGTCCCAACGGTCCCAGCGGATCTCAACAACGAGAGAAGGGCATGGTTTTCCCGTACCAAACACTGCCGTCTTTGAGATAATACTGGTTTTGTTTTCCTCCAAAGACATGGCGAGCGCCGTAGCGTGTGTCTTTTCGCCGTTACTGTGTACGAGGATGTCGTCACGCCGGCCCTGAAGCACGAAATATCCAGTTCCGGGAGGGTCTTGGAGAAAAAGATCTCCCGTACGATATGGGTTCGGCGCTGACTTGTCAAGCCAAAGCTCCGCTGCGAGAGGGAAGCCTTTGTAGACGACGCACTCAAACAAGCCGTCTCCCAAGGGCTCCATTTGCACCAAGGGCGATTCCGGGTAGAGATTTCGGAACCGATACACGTCAGGATTGTCTTTCGTGTGTGGTATCGTTCGAAGGGGCGGCCCTATCTCGGTAGTCCCGTAGGTAGTTTTCACATTTACCCCAAGCGCTTGAAGCTTTTTCAGCATCGCAGGAGACAGGGGAGCCCCGCCTGGCTGCAACACCTTCAACCGCGTGAGAGGTGTGAAGTCTTTGGTGGTCAGGGATATGTATTCATACAAGTCCTCAATAACAGAGGGGGCGCAATGGAGGCAGTCAGCCGGGTAACCAATCTCCTCCAGAGCTTTCCACGCCGAGAGAATGGAACTCGGGGCTGGCGGCCAGTTTGCAGGAGGAAGGGACGTCGGAAGTCCTGTCGGGATGCCCGACAAAACAATTGATAGCCCTGCAATATGGAAACTGTTCGGTTTGCGTTAACAGCTGCTCCAAGACTCCTCGAACAAACACAAGGGGAGAGATCTGGTAAGTCTTACAGCGGAAAGCAGAGATACCAGTTCTCTATAAAATATTCTGGCAGTAATCTGTACATCCTGGCGATTTGACACAAACTCCTGTTGGTATGGATGATCGGCTTTGGCATTCCCGTGGAGCCCGACGAGTGAATTATCATTGATTGCAAGTTCCACTCGTCAGTCGTTTCAAACGCTATCTTATCCTTTGGGGCCTTCTGGCTACTCTCGCGCAGGTCAGCGAGGCTGGCCAGATCGACAATCGAGAGTCTACAGGCCTCTCCCTCGCCAAGAGATGCCCCGTTCGCCTTGTCAACGACGATGGCGACTGCGTTGCACACCTGGAGAAGGTGATCTCTTGTTGCGGGCGAGTTCTTGTTGCTGAGCAGAAGGACCCGGATATGCAGACTGTTCAAGGCGATTTGTGTGACCAAGTAATCAATCGAGGTCCCAGTTCCCAGCAGCGCGACTGTGGGTTGCTGACCGGTCTGATTGGCGTGTTCGATCTCATTCCGGAGTTTCTCTGAATAATATCCTGATGCTTCGCAACAAAGATTCTGGAGCGTAGACCAATTGAACACCTCGAATGAGTTGTCTACGGGGGATATGAATGCCGCCTGCAGTGGCTGTGTCGCCGCATTGTGCCGGACCAAAGCAGCAATGCTCGACAAGCTTGGGTTGGAGAAGCTATGCAGTTTGAGTCAGAGGTGATGACGGGTAAGCATCATGGGGACTTAATACTTCGTGCTGTGAGGTTCGCCGTGCAAGTTCCATAGCCTCGTCAGTTCTTTGTCCGCATTTGGCGAAGGAAACACGGACGGGTCGACCATGGTGCTCGGTAAATCAGACTTCAGATCTGAAGTCGCGATTGGTGCCATGTTTGCGAAGTCAAAAAGTTACGATTCAGTGTAGTTGTGGCGTTACTCGTAACTTTCATCCCAAGATTCGGGCCCCCCGGCGTTGGCGTGCTTGATGATGTCCATTAAAGCCTCAAGTCTTCTTGTCGAGCTCAGTTGAGCGATCACAGTACATGTTGAGCCATCTGCTTAGAGTAACACTGTCCGATTGGATTGATAACTGACCTGATGATAAGAACGGAGCGATCAGACAAGATAAAACGAGTGATATGGCATGGGCCACAATCTGGCTGATAGCGGATGAAAGCCTATCATGGTTATCTCCACATCGTGACCAAACAATACAGGGGAGTGTCCGCACTAGGAGATAGATAGGCCAAGCAATCTGATAAGCACATGGTTGTCGAAGAAATAGGCGAACGTGAGGACAGGCTAGGTAAATGGGATTGTGTAAGTAAAAAGAATGAGACATCTGTTCACAAGTCCCCGCCCGACTTGGGATTAATACCCTTTTGCATTCTGCATCTGATTTGGCAAACCCCAAGGACTCGCAGCCGCCGACCAGCAGCACAATACCGCAAAATGGCACTTCGAAAACGCCTGGAGCTCCGCTCCGAAAACGCCGGACTCGGCACGGAGGGGGGCCGGCTTTCCAACAAAGACATGGATCCCATCCCGATGGGCTCGCCCGAACGCACCTGGGGCTGGCCGAGTTTGCTCGGATTCTGGGTCGCCGAAGCGTTTTCTATCTCCATGTATCAAGGTGCGTAACAACACAATATTAAAGCCGACGTTCGGGACAGTGCCTAACCAACTCCCATTGCTTGGAAACAGTCTCGTCAACGTCTGTGACGAAAGGTCTCAATCCTGGTCTGGCCATCCTCGCCGTATTCATCGGCCATGTCTTGGTATGCATTCCGGCAATACTCGACGGATATGTTGGCTGCATCCTCGGAATCAACTTCCCGGTTTTCACGAGAGCATCGTTCGGCATAAGGGGGTCGTACGCCGCAGTGTTTGTACGCGGAGTCGTTGCTTGCATCTGGTTCGGCACGCAATCTTTCCAGGGCGGACAGTGCTTGCAAGTCATGATCTCTGCCATCTGGCCGCAGTTCAAACATTTCCCGAACCATTTGTCGGCCGACGCCCACGTCACAAGCTCGGAGCTTCTTTGCTTCTTCCTCTTCATCATCGTCCAGTTGCCTCTGCTTTGGTTGCATGTGAGCAGTCTGAGGTACATGTTCATGGTCAAGACGGTCATCATGCCAATCTTTGGCCTGACTCTCTTCATCTGGGCCATCGTCGCTGGTAAGCGTTCAACTCTCTACTCTACCGGACCAACGACCAAGACAAGGCGCTGATGCTTTTACAGGCAAGGGCTTCGGACCCACGTTTTCCAAACCCACCATCATCAAAGACGGAACCCCGGCAGTCGTGGTGTTCTTCCAGTGCGTCACGAGCGCCATTGGTCCCAAAGCCACCCTCGCTCTGAACATGCCGGACTTCACCCGATACGCCAGGGATCCAAAGCAAGTTTTCTGGACCCAAGCCGTGGGGTTATGTATACTCGTGACAATGTGCGGCGTGTTGGGCGCGACGGTCAGCAGCGCCTCGGAGGTGATCTACGGCAAGGTGACATGGAATCCCTTGGAGGTCGCCGTGCTGTGGGATAACCGCGCCGCGCAGTTCTTCGCCGGTCTCTGCTGGGCATTTGCCGTTATCGGTACGAACATCAGCGCGAACAGTGTCTCGTTCAGCAATGACCTTTCGCTCTGGTTTCCGAGGTACATCAACAACAGGCGTGGGGCCTATATATGCGCCGTCTTTGGCGTGTGCGCCGTGCCGTGGTACATCCAGTACAGGTAAGCTTTGGGACCCTCCCTTGGCTGTCGGATTTTCTTTGATGTTGACGGCGACTACAGTGCAAAGTCCTTCTCCTCCTTCCTTGGTGGATATGCCCTCTTCCTGGGTGCCATCGCGGGCATAATCGTCACCGACTTCTGGATTTGCCGCGGTCGTAAAGTGGCGGTCTCGTCGCTCTATAACCCGCGAGGCATTCACTATTACACTTTCGGGGTCAACCCTCGAGCTGTGATTGCTTTCTTTTTCGGCATTATCCCGAACATGCCCGGGCTCGCAGCGGCTTGTGGCGCGAAGGGAATTCCAAAGGGAGCACTTTATCTGTACAGCTTGAGCTGGCTGGTCAGTACGGTGGTTTCTGGGTTTACGTATTGGCTTTGCTGGAAGATGGTGCCTTTTCCTGTTGACGACAGACGAGAGCAGCTGTACGTCGACGGACTGCCGGAGACGGAAGAATCGATCGGGTCAGAGCAGGGCATGGAGACCAAAGACCCAGATGTTAAGCCGGTTTGATGTACCCATTGGCATATGCTCCCTATTTTGAATAATACACTAGTAAGGCTAGAGAAATCCACATACAAGTTGAAAAGGGCTAGTCTGATTGTTTGTCTATCTCTCTGCGGTCATCCGACGACATGACGGTTACAAATTCCGATTCGACGCCGCCTCGGATGCAGAAGGCGTCAATTCGATGAGCTTCCCTAGCCCGGCTACGAACATGGCATCCAGTCGAAGCAGACTCAGATTCAGGAGATCACAGCTCCTCGACTTGATGCGCAGCAAGCCTCGCCAACGAGTCAAGAGCGTCAACGACTCATCAGCATCCGCCGGGGACGGGGACAAGGCGAACAGCAGGACGATGAAGTTACTAGCGATGGCGAAGTTGACTCGTGAATCTGCGCGTTGTTCAGCGAGAGAATCACCTCCCCGTAGGCTAGCTAGGGTTGACTTACACGAATGCCAGAACGCTTCTAGATGATGGGCCTCGAGTCTCACCAAGAAGTCATACATCTCTCGAGCGACGGCCATAGCCCCTGTACGTAAGGCCATACGGGCCTCAATAGGAGCTTCAGTGTTCTTCGGCCGCAGCAGAGCTTTGAAAACCGATATTTTCGCAGTGATGTAGGCAAGCTTTATACTGCCGTTACCGTCCAAGCCATGATGAGGCACGCATGTGGATGGTTGGTCTGCCACATCGGGACGATCCTGCAACCACTGGGCGAGCTCCATTCGCAAGGGCCGGGCAACTTCGAAAGTCGCTTCCAGGGATTTTGAAAGCACCCTTGTGGCTTTGACAGAGCTATGCGAGTCAGCATCGGTTTCATTGAGCCTTCCCGGACGGAAGCCAGTGCCCTTGGAACTCACAACATGTGTCGTTGAATCTTGGAAACAATCTCGGTCAATGAAGCCAATTGCAGGAAGTGATTGAACGCTGGTGCATCGCCATCAACCTCGGGCATAGACTCAAAGTCGTCTGCGCGAAGAGAAGATACATCCCAGTCGCATTCCTGAATGTGGGAGCTGCGGCCAAAATTCAGGCTGAGCCACTGGTCCTGTACGATGACTGCCCAGGCCAGTCGTCGACGAAGCCGCTTCTCCCATGATGGTATCGACCAATCCGTCGGGTCCAGGTTAAGGCCGAGACATTGTGCTAGTGCAACGGTGTCTGCCAGCATGACCCATTTGAACGGGGTGTCCGCAACGTGCTTGTTGGTAGGCCGACGCTGGATCATGAGGAGCATTGTTTGCACCACAGCAAGTGACGGGGTGTGAAACAGGGAGAGGGCTGCCATCCACGCCAGCTTAAAGAGACGATCTGCCGAAGGCAGCGTATCGACGTCCACACATAGCTTGTCATCAAAGACACAAAATGGTAGGGCATGTCCGTAGATGGCTGCCAAGAGGCAAACTGGTAAGGATGATGGCTTGGTGTCAGTCTCTTGAATCACCTGCTCCCTGGAGAGGATCGGAAAGTATGGCTGCACATATCTCCAAAAACTGAGTCGTCGCCTTGTTAGAGATTTCCGAGACAATGGCAACAGGGTAAAAAGGATTCCCGCCTTACAGGTTGATCAGCCTTTTGCCGACCCCTTCGGGTATCATATCCGCAACTTCAGATCGAAGGTCGGACTCGCCGCCCGCAAGACCTTCTGGCTGTGCCTTTCTTGCCAGAGAGTTGTTTTGAAGCATGAACTGGGTAGGCGTGCCATCGTTTAAGCCCACGTTCCTGATGCGAAGTTGCTGAAAGGTGCACTCGTTTTTCTCGTCGAAACGGTACAGATGAAGCAGATATGGATCTGACTCGCCGCTGAGCCCAATTGCCTGAGCATTATAACCAGGGGTTGCGTCCAACGACGACGGCGATGGGGGGACATCTCGCGGGAACGTGTCTGGTAGGTGATTCTCGGCATGTAGTGAGTTCGGACTGGTAGAGTCCGCCACGTCTTTGCCGAAATTTGCTTCATTCCCGGGCGAATTAGTCTCGGTGAATGGGGATCTCATGCCGATATCGGAAGGAGATTGACTCTGGTGATGGGAAACGACGACATGGCTAGAATCGCTCAGACGGCGAGGGTCTGAGATGCGTCTTCTTTTGTTGGGTTCGCCAACGAAGGTGCAGTCTTTGTCCAGCCGTTTGCACAGCTCGCAAGGCGGCTGATGGTGCAACAGGCAGGCGGCGCGCTTGTAGCGGCAGAAATCGCAAGGATGGCTATTACGATGACTAGACTTCCTAGTTCGGTTGCGATTAGGACTCTCCATGATATTATGGCAAAGGAGAAGATGGAGGAAGTCTGTTCTCACGCTTCATGTTCCCCGCGTCCCCAGTATTATTCATGTTGGGTCTACGGAGTATAGTTGCCTCACACTCTGATAAGAGGACGATGTCCGATTGGTCAATTGGGTTGGTCTACAATGCAGACAAACCCCCAGTTTATGAGCGAGTTATATGAGTCGTATCTCCTTGTTCGGCGGTTGTTTCCCCTTTGATGCCAAGTCGAGATGGACACACTACATGGTAGATACACTGGCCGGTCTCGCGGCCAACTTAGATCCAATCTTGATCCCTTGCTTTGCGTCCGTCACCGGAGCTTTTGTACACGCCGCTCTTCGCCGTCCGGCCTCCCATCCTTACAAGTCCCACCAAGTGATGCACCCCGGCCAGCACGCCGTCGACTACCTGCACATCTTCACCGACAGCCGCTTCAACGGCACCCTTGAGCGGTGTCATACCCGCACAGCCGAGCAGCAGCACGTCGGCCCCTTTCTCCTCAACCAGGCGTTTCCCGACGTTGGCCATGATGCCCATCACCTCACCCTGGCTTTTCTCGTGAAGGTCCAACACCCCGAGCTTGCAGGAGATGACACCGGCACAGGAGGTGGAGAACCCATAGTGATGAATGCTGTCTTCGTGCAACACCCGAGACCGCTCGCTCACCGCAACGAGCCCAAACCGCCCACCAAGGGTCCGGGCTGCGAAGAGCGACGCTTCCATGATGCCGATGACAGGCTGACGGGGAAGTTCCTCCCGAAGCATGCGGATGAGGGCGTGGTCCGAGTAGCAGGCCACCAGGACTGCGTCGTGCGTAGATGCGAGAGGGAGAACCGCTCGCGCGGCCGCAGCGGCCGACATGACATTATCGAAGCTGCCTTCAATCGCCGACGGGGAAGGTCTCGGTGCGGTGAAGCCCGTGACAATTACATCTGGGGGTAGCTGACTCTCCACCATGGCGACGCAGGCGTCCGTCATTGCCCGTGTGCTGTTGGGGTTGATCAGGAGGATGCGGATCTTCTTGCTCACGGCCGTAGGGGCCCCCTCAGAACCGTTTGCCGGACCATGTCCGTTGTTGACCGATAGCCTGGGAGGCTCCACAACACCCGTCTGTTCCGTGATGCGTCCATAGTGCTCAACACGTCGGTGTCTTCCAAAGTCGAAGACGCGTTCTTTGCCTGGACGGCATTCATCTAGGTTGATTTCCGCGTAGACAACCTCATCCCCCGTCGTGGACGCCTCGGCGATGAGCTCACCCTCGGGCCCTGTGATGCAGCTGCCGCCAATGAGGTCATACTTCCCATCGTCGAGACCGCACCTAGCTGCACTGATACTGAAGCATGCATTTGTATAGCTGTGGGCTTGCATGACCAGCTTGTGGTGGAACAGGGCCGTCTTGCGCGCCTCATCCGGGTCCATGCTGGCGCTCGATCCCCAGAGGAGAGGCGCGAATCCGGCCGTGTTATAGCCGCAGAGCACGACTTCAACACCTTGCAAGCCGAGAACCCGCCAGCTCTCGGCCCAACGTCTGTCGTTGCATATCATCATGCCAAAGATGGGTTCTCCTCGTTCTTTGGTCGATTCCATGAGGTCAGGCACACGGAATGCATTGAAGCCCAAATCCCCAGGCTTGAAGTACCGCTTCTCCAGTTGGTTGGTGGCCTCTGGGTCTGCGAACGGCTCAAAGTCTCCAGGGAGGTGGATTTTCCTATACTTTGAAAGGATCGAGCCTGTCTTTGCGTGGTAGTAGATGCAAGAATTGAATGTTTCGCCGTTGTCGGCCTTTTCGGCAAAGCCGACTGATACGTCGACTCCGAGTTCCTTGGCCTTGTCAAACAGCGGTTTAGTCTGGGGTTGCGTTGTGATGTCGCCATGTTCGAAGAAAGAGTCGAGCTCTACCGGGTCGTTGATGACATGTCGAGGAAAGAAGGTTGTGAAAGCAGTTTCAGGAAACAGAACAAGCTGTGCTCCTTTGGTGGCGGCGCTTTCGAGAAGTGCCAACATCCGATCCATCGTCTTAGTCCGGGCGTCACTATAATGTGTCGACCCCATCTGGGCTGCCGCCACTCGAAGAACACGAGACGCCATGGCTGTTGATTGTTGACTGCCGACTGTTGATCTTTCCAAACGTTTACTTTCGTCTTTCTGTCTTTCTGTCTTGCAACATCTACTTGGGAACCGAACGCTTTTACTACTGTCATAGTTTGAGGGAAACTTCGGCTTTTTTTGCGCTTGGCGCTGCTAAGAAACCACCCGCGCCTATAGCTGTGGTGTTCTGCCCCTCCCTCCCATCTATCTGCAGGCCCCATGCCGACCGCTGGGGCGATAGGCGGGTGATAGGCATCTCCGCCAATCACATGATGATAACTGAATGATTAGACAAGCTGATGGTGTGTCCCCGGGCCAGCCTGATAACCAGGATACACTATCAGCTTGTATGTATACTCATAACAACTTGGTTATCTTTATCTACGCCAGGCCTATCTTCGAGACGTCTTTATCTGCAATCAGAACGTAGACGCACGGAGAGATTGAGAAGTCATGAATAGTTACTGGTAGCCGCGATTAAATCTTGGATTGAAGGCTTGAGGGAGTGAATACGCTACGGAGATCAGAGAACCCAATCGCAACAGAGCCACGACAACGCCGCTGTCAAACTAATGATCCTCCCCGGTTAGCGATATTATTCCGAGATGGAGGTTGACCTGATCATCGTGAACGCGACGGTTGTGAGTCTCTACTGCGACCCGGAAGACCATACACTTGCCTGACGCCTGATGCATCACTATTAGGTAACCGCATCTGACGTTCACCCTCGTCAAGATATACTTGTCCGAGATGGAAAGATACTCGCGGTTGGCCAGAACTTGGCTTCTCTCTTTTCGGCCGAGAAGGTCATTGATGCTCAAGATGGATTCGTCATGCCCGGCGGCGTAGACTCACACGTTCATCTCGACCAGGTAAGACGGACTCACTTGGGCGCATAATACACCCTGCATCATTGATCTCTAACACACAAGTAGGACAACTCCCCGACGGGAGATAACTTTGAGACCGGCACAAGGTCCGCCATCGCCGGCGGAACAACTACCATCCTTGCTTTCGCGACTCAGGAACGCTACCATCAGTCTCTCCACCCCGTTGTCGAGGACTACCACTCGCGCTCAAGGGGCAAATCCTACTGCGATTACGGCTTTCACCTCATTCTCACTAACCCCACGCCGACCATCCTGCGCGAAGAGCTTCCGTTCTTCGTGAGCGAGGGAATCACTTCCGTAAAGCTGTACATGACATACGAACCGTTGCAGCTGAAAGATGGGGAAATCCTAGATGTCATGATGGCGACACGGAACTTGGGAATGACCACCATGGTCCATGCCGAGAACAGTGACATGATCTCCTGGATTACGGCACGCCTTGCAGAGCAGCAGCTCACTGCCCCGTACTATCATGCCATCAGTCGTCCCAACATCGCCGAGGACGAGGCAACGTACCGCATCATCGCCCTGGCCGAGCTTTCAGACATCCCCATACTCATCGTCCATATGTCATCCAAGACGGCCGCATCCCATGTTCGAAACGCCCAAACGAGGCTTCTTCCGATTCACGCAGAAACCTGTCCACACTATCTCTATCTCACAGCCGACGCGTTGCGCCCTTCTCATCCGACAGACAGCTTCTCCGGCGCAAAACACATCTGCAGCCCGCCGCTCAGAGAGGACCGCATGGACCTGGAAGCCATGTGGACAGGTATCGTCAACGGGACGTTCACGACGTTCAGTTCGGACCATGCGCCCAGCAAATACGACCATCCCTGTGGGAAGAAGGCGGGAATCGACGAGGCCGGATCGATGCGATACGACAAGGTTCCAAACGGTTTGCCAGGAGTGGAGACCCGGATGCCGGTTCTTTTCGAAGGCGGTGTGCTGTCTGGCAGAGTGACGCCTCAGAAATTCGTTGAAGTAACGGCGACCAATCCGGCCAAGCTCTACGGCCTCGGAGACACCAAAGGAGCCATCGCCGCCGGCTATGATGCCGACTTGGTAATATGGTATCCGACGGCTCAGCAAGCTGCTGCTCACGAGGGGACCACGGCCAAGATCGACCCCTTCGTATTAGAGAATTCCATGTTGCACCATGACATTGATTACTCGCCCTTTGAAGGAATGAAGTTCAACAACTGGCCGAGGTATACCATCTTGAGGGGCAAAGTGGTTTGGGATAGAGACAACGGGGGTATTGTTGGCGAAATGGGATTCGGGCAGTTCTTGCGACGTGGGAAGAGCACATTGAGCAAGCCGAGAAACCGTTGGGTCAATGAGTTTCAACCACTGCCAGAGGTCAAGAAGCCAACCTTGGCATACCCTTAGTTGATAATTATACCAAGTTTTCTCCTTTCAGTTTTCCTTTTCTTCAAAATCCAGTAGTTTCATTGAAATGTTTACAACGGCGTTTCCCCTGGGCGTACCAAGTGACAGCAAAGACTAAGATATCGCAAACGTTGCAACATGGAAACCCCCTTTGTGTGGGTGAGTGACATCAATTTGTCCAAGCAAACCGGCCTTTCATATCTATCAAGCGCCTTGAACCGCGGCTGTGGTCCAGAGGACGGCGTGCTTGCTATCATTGTAACAATTCGCCTCTCCTTTCACCCATCTTTCACCCTCAACAAGGCAACCCGTAATAAATCCTTTCTTCTCCTTCATGTATATTAATAGAAAACAACCGTTACACCCACTATTCATCTGCCCTTTGACCTGGCGGGCCTCTAGTATTTCTTCATTAGTTCCCTCATCTCTTTTCTTCTTGTCACTGCAGTTCTCTTCGTCCGTTTGAAAAAAATCCGTCTCTACTCTGTACGTGTCACATGGCAGGGAAGGAAGCTTTGATGTTTCTTTACTGGATAGGGTGCGGTGTATCATTCAGTTATGTACCCAATCTCAACATGTTGCCCACATCCTGTCCGATATCCCAAGGCAAAGCAAATGCCCAATTACCAAGCATGATGGCAATTGGCCTTCGATGGAAGGCGGCGTAGATGCGGGATGTCGCAATCGCTCGTGTGTGGGGTCAGACCATCCCTCAGGACGACGACATTTGATTAAGAAGGCTCTTGTTGCACTTCCGGCTTCAGTACGGAGTAATAGGCACCCTATATCCGAACCTCCCCCGCATCCGAACCACCCGAAAATGCCTCATTTCCCCTCCTTCATTAACAACACTACCTTTTTCCAAACCATCACAACAATTACTATTTATCACTAAATAACGCTGTTTTTTTTTTAGAATACCTTCTTTAACCTATTATAAAGTAATATTCTAAAGATAAGCTCTAACAGGCGCTCCTAGGTGTGTAGTCTAGGTAGTATAGCCTCTAGGCTGTTGCTTGTAGATAGGGTATACTATATATAACACTTTAGTATTAATACTTTTATAAGTAAAGTAGGAATACTGCCTTTAAAGATAAGTAATAGTAGTTATCTTAGACCTAGGAGTGTGATTTAGTTACCTATATTACTCTCTAATAGTCTTTTAGTAAATATATTAACTATTAACAAGTAAAAAGCCTAGTAAAGTGTATAATAAGTAATAGGCATCCTCTTATAAGGAGGTAATAAATAGCCTAATAACACAGCCTTCCTGGCAGCTGTTGCGGATCTGACAGGATAGAGCTAGGCTGCGATAGTGACGTGAAGTGAGGCAGTGTAAAGGCAAAGCGTAACAGCAGAGCAGTGAAGCAAGACGAACAATAACAAGGAGCTAAACAAGGGACATAGGACAAGAGAGGTACCGGTACTAGACAGTAGGTGTATTTATAGTTAACTATCTAGGAGCTAGAAGGGCTACGGCGGTAGCGGTTACCAGGCAGACACATCTGCAGGGCGACATCTGTGCGCATGTGTACCTCAGGGGCTTTCGCCCTAGCTGCCACCTATTTATCCTCAAGTCAGTATTAAACCTAATGTGGCAGTATAAGAGGCATACCTAGGGAGGCTAGCATAGATATAGCTATATCTATACGTATATATAAGTATATTACCTATCTATTATATTACCTATTATTTTTATTCTTTTTTATATTACTACTTTTTATTTTTTTATTAACAGTAAGGTCTATAATTCTTTTTTTAGCTAGATTACTAACTATAGTTTTAAAAATATTAATTAACTACTATAGCTAACTTATTTACCTTACTACTAGGCGTTAACTATATAACTACTTAGTAAGGTAATAGCCTCTTCTACTTATATTATATACTATATAAGGTAATTAGGTTACTTATTATAATAGGCCTCCTCTTATTAATAGTACTAATTTAATAATACCTTTATATAACTATATATAGTAAGCCTAGAGGGTATAGGAATACCCTTATAGTGAGCTATATATAGTATATAGTATAACTTATAAGCCTTATATATTTTATACCTAGCCTTACCTTAGCCTTATATTTATTACTACTAGTAGGCGCTTATAATATTATCCTTAGTTATAGCCTCTTAGAGAATATATTAATAAGGTAATACCTACTACTTATAGAAGCTATAGTTATATATAGGTCTATTATTACCTATCTATATATTATAGCGTTAATCTAAACTATTAGTAGCTACTACTTTTACCTTACAAAGCTTACTAGTAATTAACTTTATATAAGTATAAGTAAGTAAAAAGGATAAAGTAAGACCTATTACTTATAAAGAACTTTACTATAAAAGTTTATAAGGTATAGCTTAGTAGTAGTAAAGTATTTACTATTAATATAGCTAATATACTTAATAACCTCTTATAAGCTAAATTACTAAAGTATATAATAATAGCTATACTTAATAAGGTTATAAAAGGCTTTAAGTAAGTTACTTATTATAGCCTAAAGTAGTAACGTATATATATAGTAAGCAGATAATTATAGTAAGCAGACTATATCTTTTTACTCTTTAATTATTTCTATAAGTTAATTTAACTAGATTATATAAAATTAATTAAAAATATATATTGCTTTATTCTTTACTACTATCCTAAACTATCTTATAGGTTTATACGTTATATCTAGTCTTACTGTAATTACTATATTATTACACACGTAGCTTACTACCCTCTATATAAGCCTCCTTTTAAGACGTTTTCTTACCTCTAGCCTTAACACCCTCTTTTTCTTTATATAGTGCCTCTACTTTAGTTATATTAAGTGACCCTTTAAGACGTAGTTAGGTCTTTTTAGCCCTCTACTACTTACTTAGTATATTTATCCCTATATAAAGTCTAAAGTTCTTAGCTTTAATAAGAGTAAGCCTATATACTAACTTACTAATACCTTTAGCTTAAAAGTTAATTACTTTATATATTAGTATTAGTAAGCTTTCTTAATATCTTTAAATCTTTTTTTTAAGTAAACTAGCACTTTATATACCCTCTAGTGCTATAGTTAGTGTCTTTAGGTCTTATAAGCCTAAGCTAGTTAGATATAAGCTAGGAGGTATTAGTATGTTTAGCTTAAAATCTAAGTAAGAAATAACTACTTTAGGGTTAAAAGATATAAGGCTAGCCTATCTAAAGCTAGCTTATATATTTTTTTTTATTAAAGTAAAGAATACTACTTTAAAGGTAAGAAAAAAGCTATTTTTTATAATATATAAAATCTATATCTATATTATTTTTTTTATTTCCTTACTATATAAAAGCTTTAATAAGCTAAAATAACTTATATTAAGAGGCTAAAGCTTATATAATAAATAAATAGGTATATATAAAGTAATAATACTTTTTTTCTTATAGTAGTTATTAAATTTAGTTAATTTATAGCTATTATAGCTATTTAGAATTAAAAGGTAATAAGTACTTTTTATATAATACTTTATATACTAATTAAAGTGCTTTAGCTAATTTAGGCTAATCTTATTTATAGTCTATTTATTTTTACTTAGGTAAATATATTATAAAGCTAGGAATTAGCTATTTTAGTACTAAAAGAAAAAGTAATATTTACTTTTTATAATAATATATAGAGGTATTACCTAGCTATCTATATATACACCCTAAATAATAAAAGCCTATTCTTAATTACTAGGCTACTTTATATAAGACTTTTCTTTATAATTAGAGGTTATAATAACTTTTATATATAATAGTATTCTTATTAAAAAGCTAGTCTTATTAAAATTATAAATATTATAATCTTATATCTTATACTTTATAATTATATTTTATATAAGTATAAACTAGCCTTATATAATTATAAAATCCTTAGCTAAGGCTCTCTAATAGTTAATTTAATATTAAAATTATATTTTTAATTAGGGTTATTATTATATAAAGTTCTTTACTTATTAAGGTCTAATATATATTACGTTATATACGTTTAGAAGTTAGTTAGCTATATCTTATATATTCTCTTATTATAAAAAAAACCTTTAATTAATTAGGTTAATAACCTTTTTAAGAATTACCTCCTTCTTAACTTCTATTATCTTCTTTAAGTTTAGATACGTTTTGTCTTATATAACGCGTCCTATACGTTAGTAATATAGTGTTATATAAGGGACGTTAAAGACAGTAGCTACTCTTTATATAGACATTTTTAGGTCTTTCTAGATAGCTTAAAGGGTAAGGATAATACGGCTTTTAATTAAGGAGGATTATATGTTTATGCGTAGAGAAATATTAATATAAAGGTTAAAGAGGTAAAAAAAAGGAAAAGTAGTCTGCTTACTATATATATACGTTAGTAGTAAATAGTTATAGGTATAATTAGCCTAAAGGTTAAGTGTTACTAGCTAGTTCTTTTTAATATAAGTATATAACTTAAGTGTTAGACTTTTTATTATAGTGGTAATAGATTTATAATAGCCTAGCTTTTTATAGTAGTATTTTAATATAAAGATTATATAGTATAAGCTATATAAGTGTTTTATAAGATAATAGTAAAAGGTCTATTTATAGTAGATATAGTAAAAAAGTATAATACTTTTATCTTATTATTCTTAAGGCTATAAAAAGTATTATATATAGTATATTATTTAATAGCTAAATTATTAGTAAGAAAGTAATATAACTACTACTTAGCTTAGCTTTTTAATATATATAAACAAGTAGTAATAATATTAGTATTACCTTTTTTAGTAAGAAAGTAGCTAACTAGTATCTAGCTACTTATAGTATCTTTAACTATAATAGTATAAAGTAGCTAGCTAAGCTAGTTAGTCTAGTAAGTAGTATCTATTATAGTAAAAAGGCTATATTACTATAGTAATATAAGGCTAGCCTTAGATACCTATATAAGCCTATTACTTACTTTATTAGTATATTAGACTATATAATACTAAAATTAGAGGTTATTTATATAGTAATAAGCCTCTACCTTAGTAACTTATAGGTACTATAAATAGTTATAGCTAATAAAGTAAGGATTAAAATAAGTAGTAAGCTAGTAGTAGCCTATATTATATATAGCCTAGTAAGAAAGCTAATAGCTACCTATAGTTACTAGCGCCTACTTAACAGCCTTATAACAGCTAAAGTAGCCTTATAGTATATAGTAGACTTTAGTAGCTAAATAACCTAAAGTAACTTACTTAGTAGTAAGGTCTTTAATACCTTATAGTAAGTAGATTTAATTAAGACATTTAAGTAAGTAGTTATAAAGGCCTAAGCTAACTTATAAAATAGCGTAAAATTCTAAGTATAACTGTTGCCTTAGAACAGGGCCTGTTCCCTTATAGGATAACTTTAGTGTATTTAAAGTATCCTTAGGATTCTTTAAATTAAATACTAAAGATAAGGGTTCTTTTTAAAGATTCTGCCTTATAATTAATAAGGCTTGTGTTTTTTATTCTCTAGAGATATTCTTATATCTTATCTCTTCTTTAAAATAGGTACTAAGCTTTAATAGCTTAAAAAAGAGATAAATAGAAGTAATCTAGGAATTCTAATTCTTTATACCCTAGAGACGTTGTTCTAGAGGCAATAAACAGCCTGTAGTAGCCTTAATAATATCTGCTATTCTTTTTAGTATTTTTAACTAGAATTAAAATAGGTATTCTTATAACCTATAGAGGTCTTACTCTTTTGCCTCTTTATAAATATATATATCTTTATAAGATATATAAGGCGGCTAGAGGATTTTATAGCTGCTATTAATACTTATATAACCTCTTAGTAGATATTTAATACCTTTTTTAGTTATAAGAGATACTAAGGGCTTACTTTTTCTGCCTTAATATTCTTATAAAAAAGATAGTATAAGGGGTCTACTTTATAAATAGATAAATAAATAGACTACTAAAGAGTATATATAACTCTTATAGTAATATAGAAACCCTAGGTATATTACCTAGGATTATAACCTATTAGTATAACAAGTAAGCTAGTCTCTTAGATAGAGAATTCTAGCTAAAGATAATATAAGAGAGTATATCTCTTATATAAAGATATATCCTATAGAAGCAAGAATATAGGATAAAAAGGAAATAGAAATACTTATACCTAGGGTAGGTAAATAGAAGATATAAGGATATGTAGTTAAAGAGAGTATAGTAGTTAGATTGTTAACTATTTACTTACTTAGAGAGAGAAGGAAAGAAGACTAGAAAACAGGAAGAATTCTAGCTTTTATATAGCTATACTTAGCTTACTAGAATATTCTATACTTACGTAAGCTGCTTATAAATTAACCCTTAGCTACGTAACTTAATAACCTTAAGTAAATAACCCTAACTTAAAGTAATAACCTTATAGAAAAGATAGAAGTAGAAGGTAGGATCTTAGACATTTTAGTATCTTCTCTAATCTTCTGTTGATTATTTAATTAGGCATAGTTACGTAATTAATATATATATTAATCTGCTAGGTTAGTAGATTATATATATATATATATTAATAACCTCTATAATAGAGGAAATATAAGATAAAGAAGTATAAGAATATTAGAGATATTCTTACGTCTAATAATAACAACTATTATAGTAAAGTTATTTATCTAGTACTTAATAACTTTAGTATATGTAAGGTAACTAATACCTACTTATATAGTGTAGTTATATATTATTATAGCTTTACTACCTTAAGGCTTATTAGCTTTAGTTAACTAAAGTAAGTAGTAATAGTAAGTAGTAGTAGTACTACTAAAGGTATAGCTTTAAGCTTTAGTTAAATTGATGAAATTACTAATAAAAGCTTATATTTATTTTAATTTAGTAGCGCCTACCTTTTAGGCTTAGTAAGGTTAATATATTACCTATAGTAAGTAGTAAGCTTATTAAATATAATAATAAGGCTAGCCTAGGTCTTAAGAATATATAAGGTAAGTCCTAATAAAGTAAATAGCTAGATAGGTAAGTAAGCTAGTAAAAAGAATATCTTTACTATTAAGCTTTTTCTAAAAATTCTTTAGATTAAAGTTAACTATATCATTTTTATAGTTAGGTAGTAATAGTAGTTAGAAAGTTAAAGATTTATTATATAGTGTATTAATTATATTAGCCTTACTAGTAGTTATTTAAGGGAGACTTATAACTATAGTAAAAAAAAAATAATAAGGTAAAAGGTTAATTAGTAATAAATACTATAGTTATAATAAGTTATTAGTAATAGGTTATTAGTAATAGGTTATTAGTAATAGGTTATTAGTAATAGGTTATTAGTAATAGGTTATTAGTAATAGGTTATTAGTAATAGGTTACGTGTAGATAGGTAGGTAGGTAGTTAGATTAACCTTAAAAAATAAGAAGAATATAGTAGACCCACATTTACTTAATTAACTAATCAGAATATCTAAATATATCTATTATTTAATTATATTAATTATTAATTAAAGTGCAGTACTTCGGGGACTGTGGGCCGCCCCGCAGATGTGTCTGCCTGGTAACCGCTACCCACCTTGCGCCTTGGCGCACGCGGCCATTTCGCCCACTTTGACAGTAACTCCCCCACCCTATATCTGAGCCACCCCCGCATCCGAGCCACCATCACTACCACTATCACCACCACTATCACCACTTATTTCACTATCTCTGCCGCCCACCCATATACAACTTTCGGCCTCGCTAGGTAATTTAGATGCCCTAGATTTATCTAGACTATCTATATTACTAGGATCCAGACTTTAGGCCTAGATTATATCCTCTATAGTAGTAAAGGTGCTATTAGGAGATAAGTAGACCTTTTTCTCTTTATATAACTATATATTATCTAACTAGGCCTATAATAAGCTAACCTACCTTCTTAGAAAGGCTTCTTTAGATACCTACTTATTATATCCCTTTTATATAAATAAGTAATAAATAGTATAGGTATCTAGGTTAACTAATGTAATTAATACTATAGATTAGTAAATTAATAAGTTGTTAACTATAAGATAATAGACTTAGCTTTATTTTACTACTAGCTGCTAGGCTAACTTATCTGTTAGCTAGCCTAGATAATCTAATAGGCCTTAGTTACTATTAAGTTAGATAGAGGGCGTCTTATATATATAGGCTATAATCTAAATAACCTCTAGCTACTATTAATACTAATAGATATAATAAATACCTTATAGGCCTTAAAATAACACTTTAAGAATACCTTTTTACTAGTAATAGTTAAATTTATAACCTAGTTATCTAGATATCTAACCTCCTTATAATAGGCCTGCTTTAATAGGCTAAAGACAGCTATATCTAGAGGCTAGAGGACAGCAGAGGCATATAGCAGTAGAAATAGTAAATATATATTATACTACTAGTATTAATATATAAAGCTAATAGTTATATAGCTATAATATCTATTAAGAACTAGTAGTTTAGCCTCTTTTAGCTAGGTAGGCTTAGTGCGTAAGATAAAGACCTTCTCTAGCTATTTAAGGGTAGTATTATTAGTTATCTAGCTATTATTAGTTACTATAAATTACTATAGCTTATATATATTAAAGTTAGATAAAAACTACTAGGCCTAAAGTAATTTACCTTTATATATAACTAAGGGGGGTAAGGAGCTACTAGTAGTAAATATACACTTAATAATAGATACCTATACTTAGGATCCTAGCTGCCTTTTCTAGATATATTATAATACCTTAGAGCCTAGCACTAGCCTATTACCCCTTTTACTTTTTATAATACTAGTCTTATCTATATTCTATTAGTTAGGTAAATAAATTTCTTAGATAGTAAAGATATTAATTAAATAATAAAAGAAATCCTTAATAACCTTAGGGGAATAGACTACTTATTACTAAGTATTAATTACTCTAGATTAAAAGGTTCTAATAAATAGACTTTACTATATAAATCGGGCTATTTATTTCCTCCCTATAGGAGGATGCCTATTGCCTATTATACGCTCTGCTAGGCCTTTTACTTGTTAATGGTTGACGTATCTGCTAAGGGACTATTAAAAGGTAATATAGTTAGCTAGATTATCCTCCTAGGCCTAAGATAAGTGCTATTTATCTTTAAAGGCAGTATTCTTACTTTACTTACTATAGTATGAATATTAAAGTGTTTAATATAGTATACCTTATACTTAAGTAACAGCTTGTATACATTTTCTAGACTACACCTCTAGAAGGGCCCGTTAGAGCTTATCTTTAGAATATTACTTTATAATAGGTTACAGAAAGTATCTTGAAAAAATGGCGTTGTTTGGTTATAAATGGTAATTGTTGTGATAGTTTGAAAAAAGTAGTGGTGTTAATAAAGAAGGGGAAATACGGCATTTTCGGGTGGCTCGGATGCGGGGGTGGCTCGGATATAGGGTGGGGGAGTTAACATCCACTTATCCCGGCCTCGCCGAGTCTTTCTGCATCATAGACGTCCTCATCCCCGACCAGAAGATTGTCGCAGAATCGGACGCCTTTGTCTCGGTGACGGCGTACCCGAGGGCCCAAGTCAGGAAGTGCCTAGAGAAACGCATTAAGGGTGTGGTCGGCCGCTGCTCATAAGTAGTGATTAGTGGCCAGGGGTCATTTCCGGCCTGCACAAATGCTTCCGAGGGGTACCCGGGCCCGGATGCTGGCGGCAACTAGAAAGTCAGATTTATGCAATGTATCTTTCTGAATTAATCGCAACCCACCACCCAAAGAGGGAAAGCGTTATTCAAAATAGGCTTTTCTGCCGCTGGCTCTGGCATTGTCAGAATAATGGCTAGAGTGATTAGTGGCCAGCCCGGATGTGCAAAGGAGGGCAATACTTACAACAACAACAACAATATTAACAGTAGCAGCCTCTGCTGCTGTTATTATTAATAATAAAACCCTTATTACTAATAACAAGATAGATATCTATTGTAGTATTAACTACATAAGGCAAATTGTTTACTAGTGCTAGTAGTAATAATAGTAATAGTGTTAAGGATAATTCTTCCTGTTATGTGTTACTATTTATAACACTACTACTATCGCCAGCCTCTTCTAGTAACAAAGTAATAGTAAGCATTAATAATTAATCATTTCAGCTGTAAATCTAATGATAGAAAATGTAGATATTAGCTTTTCCCCCTATAACTACCCCTTAGCCTAAACTTTTATAATAATATAACATCACAAACCTTTGACTATTCAAGCAAGCGGTGAGGCGGCCACAGACTATACCTACTTTGGCGGTACAACGAGCATAATAAAGCAGGGGGGGCACAAGTAACAAAAAGTCCCTCCTGGCCACTAATCACTACTCATGAGCAGCGGCCGACCACACCCTAAGTGAAAGCACTCATATCTAGGCCACCCCCACATCTTGGCCACCCTTTCCTACTAAAAATAGCTAAAAACTGCTATCTATATCTAAATAACTACAAGACTTAGTATTCTACTGTATATACTGGTTTAATCCGCCTACATCTACTTTATAGGCTAACTGTAAGGGATATAGCAGACGCTGTAATCAGTCTAGCTTACTAGCAGAAACATAGATTAGATACTGGCAAAAGTAGGGGCAGTCACGTACGTCAGCAGGAAGTTTGGGTGCAAGCTCGGCTGACTGGGTAGGTGGATGGGTGGGTGGGTTGATTGACTGCCTACTATAATAGACTTAGCTGATGGAAGGCTGTGATACCCCGTACGGTTAGCCTTTAAAGTAGATGTGGGCAAATTAAACTAGTGTATATGGTACTTATTTCTTTATTAAATCTATTGTACTTTGCTAGTCTTAGATATACTTAGCTTTTGTTATTCTAGTGAAGCCGAATGGTATATGTAGGTAGGCGGTAAGCCCGAGGAAATAAGTGGTGATAGTGGTGGTAATAGATAGTAATAGGTGTGGGGCTGCGTAGTACCTAGGATGAAGTGCTTAACTATATTTACTTAAAGAGTAATAACTAGGTTCTTAGTATTATTAAACATATAATCAAGTAGATAATGCACTGATTTCTTTAACCTTTTCTTCTATACAAGTAATTAATTCTTTTATTAAAGTCTATAAAAGTAATTAATGTAATATAAAAATAGAGTCTAAAGATTATTAAGATATGTTTTACACGTTTTATACAAACTTCTATATAATCAGAAGATGTCCCGGATGGATTACAAATTCAGTGCAGAAGATCAAGCATTCGAACAACTATATCTGTCTCATCTTTACAGGGAATTCACTGCTCTTCTAGCACAATGCGTCTTTCCACGCTTATGTTTACTGTTTTTGCTATTGGCGTTAGCGCTGATTACCAATGCTAGTAAGTGCTTTGTTTATATACTTATAATCAGAAACTAACATACGTCTAGTTGCACGAGACAGGGCCATTACGATGAAGACGCTACAAAATCAGCTTGTAATGAAATAAGTGGTGCCGAAATGATCTCTGTCCATGGTGGTGATGAGTGTAAACTCTCAAACCAAACGCCTTACACGTCTGAGTTTAAAAGAGTAAGTTATAACTTAAAATAGTCCGTACTTGTATCACTACTAAGATTTGTTATAAAAAGAAATGTAAAGCTCATTGGTATACGGATGATGGACACTGTGATTGGGCTAGCAGATAGGAAATATACACGCTGCACGGGAACACATTAGACCTACATAGAAGAAAAATAGTCATCTTTCCGTCCGCTGTCCATGCGTCCGCCAACTGAACTTTGCGGGTGGGGACTACAGGCCTATGGTCGAGGATATACGCCCATGAACCCTACTGTGCACGCAACTATCTGTTCACATACAGTGGGGTGCCAGAAGTCTCCTGACAGCCCACTTTCCCAGCCACCTAGCATTTTCACCCCATCACTTAATCTAGCTAGCAAACCATGGACTTTTAGAATTATATAGTAAAACTATAGTCAAATTAAAGCCTGGAGTTTACTCTTTAGTATTGTGTATACTAACCCTATGCTTTTATCACTGCCTCTAAGCGCCGTGGCAGAGACTAAATTAGTGCCTTAATCTTCTCCTGTGGGATTATATCCTATACCTCCTTAATTTTCTTCTTAAATAACCCTATATCTAATTAGTTATTCTTAAGAAAGAATACTTCTAGGTATAGTCTTTTAAGGTTAGACTTTATTATTTACTAACAGTACTTAATAGGGTTAAGGTTAGGTAAGTAAGGTAGCTATTCTAGCTATAATACTGCCTTATCTAAGAGCTATATAGTGGTTACGTATAAGCTATAAATAGGGGTATTATCCTAAACATAATGCCTTATTTTATTATAGTTAGGTAGATACCCTTCCTCTAGGTATTAGATATAGCTATTTAAGCTATATCCCTTCTTTTTAGTAGTGTTATCTCTCTCTAAGAAGACTAGCTTACTTTAACTATCCTCTTACACTATTACTTACACTATAATTAAGATATTAGCCTTAATATAAGCTATAAGGTTAATAAACTTTTTTTTTACTATTTATAAGGTAATTTAAATACCTAGGTAGTTAGATTATTTATATTATTCTAGCAGGAGGACTTATTTAAAAATTAAGACTTAGTAAATAAAATTAGCCTAAAGACTCTAAGAAAGACTAAATTTATAAGGAGAAATACTATTATTAACTCCTTAATATTTAGAAGCTACGTATATATAAATTAAAGCTAAAAAGCAGCTGCTTCTTTTATAATAAAAGGCCTCTTTATTATCTTCTATTTATAATAGTTATTACTTTAAAGAACCTACTTAAGGGTCTATATACTTATAATATTACTATACTTATTTAAGAGCTGTTAGTATATATACTAGTAGTTAATTTTTACTAACCTAGTTATAGTCTGTTTTTAGGTATAAGATAGTTTCTCTGGCCTTCCTTTTTAGGGTGCTGCCTTAAGGCTTTAGTCCTTTTAGTATCGTTAAAGTGTATTAGTAACAGTTTAGTAGGAGCAGTTAAAGAGGACAGTAGTTGTTAAATGTAGCAGAATTACATGTAAATTAACTAGCGAATACACGGTTGCCCTACGGCGAATTATTAGGGAATAGGCGGTGAATTAGCCCCACTTTAAGGGGGTAATTCACTAATTAAATAGCTAGGATTAGTCTAGGATTTCCCTACCTAGAAATAGAGGAATATCTATAGTTCTAAAAGTTCTTAACTAGATCTATATATTATATAATTAGTTAATAATTTATAATCCTTACTATTTAATAATTAATAGTCTAATATATATATTTATAATAACTAATATACCTATCTATTAATAAAAATACTATTATAATATCTAATAAGAATAATAATAATAAGGTAACTATCCTATAAGCGTGTAGTAACTAGTCTATATAGATTAACGTAATTAGGGTAAAAGTAAAGCGACTTAACCTCTAGGTATATATTAACCTAGAAGTTACGTCTAAGAATTACCTAAGCCTTAAGGAACTCCTTATAAAACTATTACGGCCTAAAGTTATAGACTATTACCACGCGTTAACTATAGACAAACTTACTGCTTACTAAGAAATTACTATAGCTATAGTAATTACTAGGATATCCTAGTAAGTAACTACGTAGCTACGTATAGTAAGAAATAAGGCTTTTACTACTATACCTAATAGACATACTTATAAAGTTAAGTAAGTAAAGACGCTAAAAAAACTTAATATATATAACCTTACTTATCTTAATAGGCTGCTTATATACTATTATAAAAAAGTGTATAAATATACTACCTACTAGAAGGACACTAATAACTTAGTAAACGTAATTAAATCCTTTATCTCTATAGACCTTTATAAGAGGTGCTATAAATTATTAAAATTAATACCTAAATAGATTAACACCTTAAATATAGTAGTTAGGATAAGTAACTCTAATTATATAAGATATACCTATAATAAGTATAGTAAAGTATTAGTAAAAGCCTAGTAAAAAGCCTTAACTACTAAAAAAGATCTTACTATATAGCTTAATAAATAGAACGCAGCCTATAGTAAATTAGTATAAGTTAATTTACCTAACTATTAATAACTAGTAGTCTAGTTTAATAACCTTATTACTATATTATAAGGCAGTGCTATTAGCTTATGGCTTAATATATATAAAGTAACTAGTAAGATAATAAAAAATTAAAATAAGATAGACTAGTATTTACATTATAAGATAGCGCTTAAAAAGATTAAAGCCCTTACTAATAACTTACTATATTATAGTTAAGTAGGCTGTAGCGTATTTAGCCTAACTAGAAATAATAATAATAACAGCCTAATGTATACTAAAGGCGTAGTAAAAGGTAATAAATCTACTAATAAGAGACACTACTATTAATAAAGTGTAAGTAAAAAAGTAAAGTGCCTTATATACTTTAGTATCTATTTACTATAACTTTACTATTTTATAAATAAATTATAAAGGCCTAATAATTAGCAGCTAAATATATAACGTTAGTAATAGGTTAATAAGTATATTATAAGTAATCCTAACCTTATTAAATAAGTATAGAAAATTAAGGCTAAGTTATATTAACTATATAGTAAATACTATATAAAGGTAGTATTTTATACTACCTTATAGGACTATAAGCTAAGTAATTTAGCCTTACTTAACTTAAGTACTACTAACTATATATTTAACTATATATTATAGTTTATTACGTTAGTAGTAGCCTTAATTAGTAACTATATCTAGGCTAGTACTACCTAAGTTATAATTAAAGGATATAGTACTATAGAGGTTACTTTAAAGGGTACTAATTACTTACTAATAAAGCTTTATATATATAATATAATATACTATAGTGTATTTACTATATTACTTATTTTATTTATAAGGCTACACTAGTAAGGTATATAGTAAGACATAAGCCTAAGTAATAACTACCTTAGGCGTATAAACTACAGCCTTATAGGCTATATTAAGAAGTAAGGTAACTAATAAGTACTTAAAATATATAAGTAATATAGTTATAGTTAAGAAAGTAAAGGCGCTTTTACTACACACTTTACTAATAATTTACTATAAACCCTATAAGTAAGGAATAAATATATAATATTAATATAATAATAACCGCTCTATAGTAATATAATAATATAGTATAAACGTCTTAGCCACCTAGGTGCTAAGGCTTTATAAAGGATTATAAATACTAGACGTAAAGTACGTCTAACCTAAGTTAACACTATAATAGTATAAGACTATAATTCTTATAGCCTTAGTAAAATAAAGTAGTAAATCTATTACTAGCTATAAGAAACCGTTATAAACGTAGCGCTAGGTAATTACCTAGTGCTAGATTTTTATAACCTTAAATAAGGCTATATAGAATACTACTTAGTAATAATAATCTTAGATTAGGTAATAGGCCTTATATAGAACTTTTACTTATATAGCTACTACTAAGATACTATTAATTTAATAATAAAAGGCTTCTTAGTAATACTAAAAAATAAGTACTTAATTATACTAAAAGTTATTAAGACTAACTAAGAAATCCTATGCCTTAAGTAACTTATAGATACGCTCTTTAATTATAAGATCTCTATTAAGCTATTAGTAGTAAATACCTAGGCTTAAAACAGAGGCGTTAAGTAAATTACTATAGTAATTAAACTTAAGGCGTAATATATATATATTAATATAAAATTACCTAAAGTCCTATAGCCTAAGATTATAACTATAGCTATATATCTCTATAACTAAACGCTATTAGCAGCTTAAAGGTAAAAATCCCTATATTAATTATTTTACTTATATTTTATACTTAATAAGCACGCTAAGCCTTTACTAATAGTAAAGCTAGATCTTTTATATCTATAAGCCTATAGCTACTAAGTATACGTACTAACAGCAGACGTATAACTATTATATAACTACTAGTAAAAGCTTACTACCTATATATAGATTAGATTTCTTATTAGGTATACCTCTAGTAATTTATATTATATCTAGCACCTAGTGTAAAATAAGGTCTCTACTATATATAACGTAATATTTAATAAAAAGTAAATCTTAAATAAATTAAGAAATAGATTACTTAATAAGCTTTATAAAGCTAACCTTAAAGTAATTTAATAATAAATAAATAAGCTAATTACAGCTAGTAATAAATACCTAACGTATAAAGAAGCTAATAAGGAAATAAATAGAGTAATTAAATATACTAATATTACTCTACTAGGCGCTTTATAATTAGGTAACGCACTAGAATATCTATATAAGCTAGTAAAATTTATACTTCTCCCTACTTTACTACTATTGCTACTAAGCGCCTTTTTATAGCCTTTATAGATATTAATATAGAGGGTAGTAAAATAGGAACTAATAGCTTTAAATTAATTAATAGTTTATTAATAGCTAATAGCCTATAAGCTAGTAACTTACTTAATAATTTGTTAATAGCTAATAGCCTATAAGCTAGTAACTTATAGGGAATTAATCTATATATAATAAATATATAAGACGTTACTAAGCGTAAAATAATATATCCCTAAGTAATAGCAGCTAGCCCTTTAGATA